CTTTTTCAGTGTGGGTTTTGATGTCTTCCCCATCAAATCCAGTCGAATTAGTTCAAAACCATAAAATTGTTCACGGCTCAATTCAATCTCTTCATTGAATCCGGAAATAGATGCAAAATATTTTTTAAACTCTTCAGGAATTTTTGCAACTGATTTGACATTTTTTATCTGGGCTTTTTCTTCCTCGGTAATTTTTGCTTCGTCATTAGTTTTTTGGACTTTTGCCAAAATAGCTGTAACAAAAGCACCGTAGTTCGACTAAAATAGTTAAAATATTTTCCTAGATATTTTTGTGATAATAAATATTTGACTTAGAACGACAAAGACTCCAGGCTAAAGAAAAATAAATTTTGTAGAAAATTTACAGCTGGCTAATATTCATATCGTTAAGCTTGTATGTATGTATTTAATAATACAATAGAGAAAACAAAGTTGCTCTATCTGAAAGAAGTGACTGGTTGAGTTTTTTCTTTACGTCTTTAGACTTACTCGCAATGTTCAATTTTCCTTTATATTTAATCTCTAAAATATACGGACCTGAATTTCTAAGAAAAAATTCTGCCCTTCAGCTTTGAATTGTCCAAAATTGAATTGGTGTAGTTTACCAAAATCAAAAAAATTCCCTTCTTCGGTTTTAAAGCGTACATCTTTGAGAGTCCATTCTTGAGACTACAAAAACAATTTAAAAAATATAGATAATTATGTAAGTAGTTCAAAATAATACCCGGATCTGGCCTTTAATTACATCAGCAGACTTGATAGTTACTTTTAGTTGCTTGATTTTGTTGCTGTAGCTGCTGACCTCGAACGTTAGATAATCCGATCCATTTGTCTTCTAATTTGCTTTGATTTATTTTTAGAAATATATTTAGATACCTGGGGATTTATATAATGACAACCCTTGCAGCTAACAGAAACATTCCAAGAATACTCAGCAGGTAAAACTTGGACATGGAACTTGTTTCCTTCCACTCCAAGATTATATAGCAGAGCACAAAATAAAATGTATAAGCATTTCATTGCAAAATATGAAGCAGAAGTTTGCTTCATATTAGCCGGATGCTTTTGTTTAAAGACAAACTTTTCGGAAATTATCCTTTTAAGGATTCGAATTAGTTCCTGTCTAAATTGAACTTGTTTAAACAAACAATTTAAAAAAAAGTTTTGTAATAAACTTAGAGTTTGAGGTCTAAATCGAATGCAAAATAAGATGGTAAGCGATCGACAATCTTGCTTCCAAGAGCTCTTATTGTTAAAATATATTCATTCTAGGAGTATTTCGGCAGATTTACTACAAACAACCCTCGAGTTTGTACACCCTTGGGCAGAAAAATTTTAAAAAGATTTAATGTTCTATTATTGGATGTATATAAAGGTAAGGATTTGTGGGTATGAAGCAAATTAAGAAAATTTTAAAAGAAATTGAGAAATGCTGAGTATATAGCATTACTGGACCGCTATTTATGCTAAAACATTCCTATAGACGAGTCCGCCCACGTGCGACTGCGCATTACTGACTGCTGTAATGCCATGGGCTTGACAGCTTTCCAAGACGAATGCCTGTCGCCTAGAAAATTCCTGTCGCCTGAGCCAAACGCTTACTTCACACATAAGGAAATGTCAGCATGGCCCAGCGATTTGCAATGCCTTTTGCCAAATTTCTTTACTTCTCTAATGCTCTCTTATTCACTGAATGTAGAATTAAATCTCTTTTAATCTTGCTGGAAATTTTGGCTCTGAAACTGATCTTTTAGCTCAAAACGCTTCAAGTTAAAAATCTTTTAAATTAATTTCGATTCGACACTTGAAGTTTTTCTTGTTTCAAATCTAAAACAAGAAATAACTCTTTAAGCCAGTGTATTGTAAAGCATATAGCTATTAATTTCCTAAGGCTATGCAGTAGGCGGCGTGGTGTAATGGCTAACACATCAGTCCGGTCTACTGGAGAATCTGGTTCGCTCCCAGCCGCCGAATAACCTTTTGCACTAGCTAAAGGAGAGAAATAGCTATAGCCCAGCTGCTTTACTGTATTGCTCAAGTTGGTGGAAGTGGTTTGGAAGGTCTCTTTGTCTTGGGTCTCTTGGTCTCTTTCTATGTTTTTAATTAAAATAATGCTATCTGAAACTGTAGCAAACCTTCTAATAAATTTTCTCATTAATTTAGATAGAAAAGTTTAACCAAACAGCTGTAATAAAAGTATAAACCAAGTTCTAAAAATCGTTTTGTCAACAAAACTAGACGATACAGAAGAATATTAGCTATTTTACTAATTAATCATCAACAAATCAACAACCATACAGGCAAAACAAATTTAGGAGATTAAAAATCAAAACATCAAAACTAAGAGTATCGCTGTTCGATCTCGAGCTGTCAATATTTTCCCCAATCAATTTTCATTGACAACAGCGCGTGTTGCTCTCTCTAAATTTAAATTTCTTTCTCTAATGCCATCTGACGGAAATTGAAAAAAATTTTTCTATTGATTAAGCAATTTAATAGAGAGGTAAATTGATTTGAAAATGCGAATAAAATAAAATAAAATTTAATAAAATTTTAAACAAAACTCCTCTAAATGGAGTTCAGGCCCCTGAACAATCTGTCAGTGACAAAATTCTACCGCTAATGTAGGGGATTAATGAGATATCGGAATTAATAAAGCGACATCGGAATTAAGTGATCTTGTTGCATCAAGACCTAGCTCTGTGGAGTGTAGGCGAGGAGCTTCTCCAAAACCCGCGCTCCGCGCTGGGCTTTGCCGCACGTCCCTCGCGGGAGTCTACGGTCGCCGAGTTCTACAACATTAACATAAACCTATACCTTTTCCATTTTCAGCCTTGATCTGACGACCTACCCCCCTCACAAAAACTGATTGGACTCATAAACTATGACAAACAAGTTTACCTTAGTTTGCTGTTACAATCAGAGACAAGTCAAAATGCAAAAGAAACAGTGGTACGCCAAGTTCGAGATGCAATTGCGGATTCAACAAATACGAACTACCGGCATACATGAAGTCCCGTCTTCTAATGATTTTCTTATGTTTTCTGTGAAGCAACAAAACATGCGAAGGAAACAGGCGGTCGCGATCTCGAGTTGCCAATATTTTCCAATCAATTTTTATTATCAACAACGCGTGTTACTCTCTCATTTAAAAATTCTCCCTCTAATGCCATCTGACGGAAATTGAAAAAAAATTTTCTATCGATTTTGTAATTTAATAGAGAGGTAAATTGATTTGAAAATGCGAATTAAATTTTTAAAATTAAATAAAATTTTAAATGAATTTTAAATTAATTAAACTCCGCTAAAATATAAGGCGGAATATTCAATTTTGAAAACATTGCTGGTTTACTGTAAACAACAAATTTGTTTGGAAGTATAATTTTTGTAGCACTTATTTGGGGATGAGACTTCGCTAGTCTTTTATGGCTTTTTACTCTTAGAAGTGATAATATAAGCAGTTCGAAAAATAAGTCATTTTTGATGATTTAGACAAGTTAGCCCCTTGCAGGGCGTTTGAAAAATGTTAGCCACATATGTTGTTTTGACGGGTTAGTAATTCATTAAGATTAGTTGTCACCCTTTATTTTCTGTTTCTATATAAGATTTTGTATAGAGTGAGGTTTAATACATGTTAATCTTGAGAACTTGTTAATTTCGAGAATCGAATTCAAAAATTATTAATTTCAAAAGTATTTAGATATACCTAACAGAAATGTTTTATAAACATTATACCTATTTATCAAAATTAAATCTCAAAAAATTTTTGTAAATACTTTCTGTGAATGTTTTCAAATCGGAATGTTTCAAACAAACATTTAATCTAAGTGTTTCAAAATACCGTGTATCTTTCTAAAATTTATCGTCTACTGGGTTAACAAAGGCACCTTAAACGGCGCAGAATTATAACATGAAAATATGTTAAATATGTAAGGATTTAAAAATCACTAAATGAAACAGAATTCCTAAAAATGAAATAAAAAGTCCCTAAAAGAAATAAAATTCCGAAAAAAAATAAAAAAAGACATGGAAATAAAAATTTTTCTCAAATTTCTTGAATTCACAAAATTTTCTTGGATCAGCCTAATCAATTTTTTGAACCCATTTCCCATCGATCATATGGTAACTATATGAAGGTTCACGTTCATGAGGTGGTTGATAACCTTGCGGATAATAAACTACATTTGGTGTATCAGCATCTGTATAAGCTGCCTCATTGGTTGATGTTTGTGGAACATTGTGCACAGAACCATGCTGAGCGTTTAATCCTTGATGATGTGGTGGATATGAATAATGATGTGGAGGGTATTGTGGTGAATATGGATAGGGTGGAGGGTATTGATATCCTTGAAAATTTTCATTATCTCCATACATTTGATGACCTCCATATAGTTCTTGACCTGAGAAGAGATGATTGTAAACCGGAAGATTCCCATGAACGCCAGGCTGAATTGGTTGAGGAAATGGTCCAGGCTGATACGTATGTGGAACTGATCCAGGCTGAAATGGTTGTGGGAATGATCCAGTCATCGATTCTTGTGGAAATAAAGGCGGAATATTGCCTGAGCCTTGAATGCCGGACCAGTTGCTTTGATCAGAACTTGTCCCTTGAATGCCGTCGAAGCTTTGGCTTCCAACACCAGAAAGTGTATGGGTATTTGCTGGATAATTATCACTAGCTAAAAGTTAAATATGTAATTTATTATCATAAGATACATACCTTGTCCTTCACCATCATTATCCTCACCGGGATTACTTCGATGCATTGGCATACTAGAGTTTCTTCGAAAATTTTTCTTCGCTTTAGCGGAATTATTTTTTCTCTGTAAATCTTCAATTCCGGAATTTCTACCCTGACGACTGGAACTCGGAATATCGACACTGGCTCGATGAGGAGTTTGTCGGCCTCTATAATTATTCAGTATTCATAGAAAAATTATAAAATACCCGTAATTAAATTAACTCTCTATATAGTGAAAAACGATTCAGATTCGATATCACTAAATAGAGTAGCTATATAATAAAATTACGTACACTCCTTGTCTTTCCATTGGTCTTTGTGCATTAGATTTTCTAGGTCGAGGGATGTTACTAGGTGCACTACTTTCATGCTGGTCATCAATATCGTCAAAATTCAACCTAAATATTTTTGTTAAATTGCTTTTTCTAAAATAAGAATCACTTTAGCCCTTCAAATCCTGCAAAACTCTTTCTAGACTTAGTTCCACCAGTTGTGGAGCTTTCAGCTTCTTCCAAATTTAAATGTGCAAAATTAGTCAGCAGATTCATTGGCGTTCGGAATCCTTCTTCCATAGAACCAGAAAAGTCTGCCAGCTGTACGAAATTTATGTTTGTTTTTTTATCCTGCACCTTCATAAAATCAAAGATGTAGGTAAATTCCTGACCAGTGCCATTCTAAGGTTTAGGTATTTTACAATTTAGTCTTTTCAATGGAACTAACCTGCAAAACTGGGTTAGCAATTTTGCGGCAAAGTTTTGGAAGAGGTATTTCTACCTTGTCCATTCTATTGAAAAATTAGATTTAGAAAAAACTGAAAAACTACTAACCTCCAGTCACTATCATCTTGCATTGAATGAAAGCATTTAGAGCAAGTATTACTTCCTGACTAAAATTTAAAAATTAAAAAAAATAAAATCAGATATACATACATTTAGCAGGTATATTTCATTGAAATATTTATCAACTTTACAAAAGTGACATTTAATTCTCTAAATTTAAAAAATTATTTTAATAATTTGAAAATTTCAAATAATAGATACTAAGTAACCTTCTCAATACAAACATCTAATACAGGGATTTCCTTGGATTGAATAAATTCTTCTATGCTTGACAAAGTTTGCTGGGTTTCAGTTGCACGGGGAGATTCTGCTTTGCCAGGCGAATTTGACGACATTTTTTCATTAAACGATTGAGATTTGCCGAATACAGCTTTGAGTTTAGACGGAGTAGACGCCAAATTTGAAAGGCTCCTCATAAAAGGCTTTTTTGACTCAGTTTTGTCTTTATTTGGCTCAGTTTTGTCAAAAGATTTTGATTTGCTGAATGGTGATTTGCTTCCACGCGGACTCGTACGCGGACTCGTAACCAATTTTGTTACTGTTTTTATAATAGAACTTTTAGCTTCTTTGGCTAAACTCAATTGAAAAATTCTACTGTTTAAATGATAATTGTCTATTACTAACTCTTCTTCGTATAATGGTTTAGATGTAAATTGGGATAAAAAGCCATCCTGTGTTTTTACGATTGCAAAATACTTTTCTCTTTTACCTTTATCTTCTGCGTTATTTAACTGAAAAATTATTACAAAATTATTTTCAAGTTATAAATATGGATGGGAAAAACACGCAAATGCATATTTTGTATGCGGATATGTCTTGAGGTAGGAAGCAGGGATGTGCCGAGCACTTTCGCCTTTTTTTTGTTTTGTCTTTTTTGGCATTTTATCTTTCGTCTTTCGCTTTTAAAATTAACTGATAAAGTCCGGCCCTGCGTTTTTCACAATTTAAAAAAAGTTTCGTGTTTTTGTTTTTCGTCTTTCGCTTTTTACAGGAGACTTTCGCCTTTTCGCCTTTCGCCAAAAAGGCGAAAGTCTCTTGTAAAAAACGAAAGACAAAAACACGAAACTTTTTTTAAATTGTGAAAAACGCATGGCCGGACTTTATCAGTTAATTTTAAAAGCGAAAAACGAAAGATAAAATGCCAAAAAAGGCGAAAATTCGGCGAAAGGCGAAAGTGCTCGGCACATCCCTGGTAGGAAGGCAAAAATGGTGTTTTTATATTAACCGAACAATTTAGGACCGGCTATTGATGCATATTTTTGCATATTTCGGCATTCTCATGCATATTTGCGCATTTTTTAGCAAATTTTAGTAAGTAAAAGTTGGCGAAAATTTTCAAAATCTTGAAATTTTTTGGTAAAAAAATTTTATATAAAAATATTTTTTGATAAAATTTTGTACTTTTTCGATGCATATCTATGCGCATATTTGGCGATTTTGCTTGCATATTTTCCCTTCCATGATTATAAATAATTTATAAATCTAACTTGAATGTTTAAATATAAATCATTTCCTTCCATGCGGATGTATTGCCCAAAATGGAATTGGTGCACTTTGGTGAAATCAAGCACATTTACTTCATATTCTACTGTTTTCCCAGTTTTTTTGGATGTCTTCGTCTTGTAGCGTCCTTTTTCGACAGGGTACAGAGTCCATGTTTGAGACTTTTAAATTAATTATTTAAATAAAATAATTAACGAATTATTAAAATAGGTAAGCCTTTCAAATAGAAATCTCTTTCATAAACCCTTCAAAGAGATTAAACCGATTCTTCCAGCAAGGAAAATGGCAGAAGCTAGGATAAATTTGCTTATCAACTAGGGGAAACTTCGACAAAAGACAAAATCGCCCTAATAAAATTTTTTTCTCGACTCTTAAAACAATCGCAGAATTTACAAGAGTGAGGCCATTAAAAGGCAAATTAAATTACCCGCTCATAACCCAAGATTTCTTCACAAGAATTTATCTCAACAATTAAACTTTTGATGGGTTCATCTTGATCAAGGTCGAATTTTAGAATGCCTCCATTTGTAAGCTTAAAAACGTTTATCGAGTAGTAATTTTTATTATTTAAATTTTCTACCTTTTTCGACTTATAAATTGAATTTTCTTGGAATTTCAAGAAAAGTTAAGTGCCTTGTGTTTTTCTAAGGAGCTCTTTGTTTTTTCTAAGGAGCTCTTTCAGTTTTACTTTGAAGCTCTTTTTACTTTTCTCGCTATGACTTGCTTCCCTTTTTCATAATTTTCTGTTCTTTACTAAAATTTTAAATTACCTCACTATGCAGACTATCACCAGATGTAACCGAAACATTCCAAATATAACCTGCAGGAAATACTTGGACGTAGAATTCTTTTTGCCCTTCGACAAGTTTAATAAACAAGTATTGAAGGATAAATAATAGAAGAACCATTGGCTCTTCGAGGAATTCAAGCTTTTTTTTTCTTTTAAAAGTTTTTTTTAATTTTAAATGATTTAAATGGCAATAAAGTAAATAAGCCTGCTGTATTTATGCTATAAAATTTTTCAAAGGGGCTTTACGAGAAGGGCGGATAGACGTTAATTCACTTTAAATAAATCTTTCCCCATAGGTAAATTTCTCTCTCCCCATTAGTAAGTCTCTCATTTAAATGGAGAGAGGGTTATGAAATGCATGGAGGGCTAGTGAAGGGAGGGGAGGGGGGGGGAAGGAGGGATGGCAGGCAATTTTGCTTACATGTATGTTTGAAATTCTTCATTAACGTCTTACCGTCTTCCCCTAAAGATGTTTGCCTTGAGATGAGCCTTGGTAATCCGTCAAGCGATACACGTGAATCAGGCGTTGTTGTAGATTCTTGTTTACATGCGTGGCAAATTGGGCATTGATTATTTCTCTCAACATCTCTTTTAGATGGAGAGAGGGTTATAGCATTGAGGGCCTAGTGGATAGGTGGGCAGGAAATTTTGTCTAACCTACTCTGTATAACTTTTAAATTTTTCTCTGCCGTCTTAACTTAAAGATTTTTGCCTTGAGATGCGCCTCGTGAATCCCTCAAGCGATACACGTGAATCGGTTGTTATTGTATTTTCTTGTTTACATACGTTGCAATATGGGCTTTGATTATTTATATTTATTTTTAAAAACAAAGATACAAAAGTCTATAAGCTTTTAAGAAGCCGAATACAATCTTAAAGTCAAATTTTTTTAATTCTATATTTTGCATAAGCTTGTCGACCTCGCCAATGTTATGTCCGCGGATTTGCCGAAGTTTGTCAAAGTTGACGAATACAAAGGATAACAATTCACCGTATAGGAAATGCAATGAAGATGAAGGTTGCGGGAAGAAGAAGAGAAAAAAACTAATTTTAAACAGTGATGTCAAAGTTCCAGTTCCTCAAATCATTAGTTCTAGTTCCAGAACAAGAACTAAGGAACTAACGATTATCTGGAACTAGTTTGGAATTAGAACTACTGAAATAGTAAATGTCTGGAACTAGCTTGGAACTGGAACTACAGAACTAGTAAATGTCTGGAACTAGCTTTAAAACTAGTTCTGGAACTAGTTCTTGGTGTTATATTTTTGACAAAATTTCCTCAACGAAGTTACCATTTTATGGGCACCTGTTATTTCTTACTATAACAGTAAATTATTTGTCAACTCATTTTAAATCCACGGATATATACGTGAGGATCTGACTCAAAAGTTACACTAATATAAACGAATACGGATATAGACATCACGGATATATCCGGATAAGGAAAGCAAAATCCGAGTTCATAAACATATCTGCTTCTTTCAAAGAATTTAACCCAAAAACATATACGATTATTTTCATTATTATATCCATTTATTAAAATAAAATCTCAAAATATTTTTTAAAATTTATCCATCAGAACACAAGCAAGAACAAATTATTAAATACAAATAACAAATTTTCCATGGCAACAAAAACAAAAAACTGCCTCTCTCGTTAGCTAATTACCATTTTGCGTGAAGCAGAGAATTGCAGGTTGGTTTTGTGTGAGGGAGGAACGTGTGAATGAAAGAGGATGAAGAAAATCTTTTGAAATTTATTAAAACAAAAATTTTTTTCTTTGTTATTTTATTCTTAAACTAACATTATTCTGATGTTTTATCCGAAAAATTTTTTTACAAAATAATTCGCATATTAAAATTTTTATAAAAATTCACGATTTATCCAAAGAATAAAGAATATTCATGAATAAAATCCAAGAAATTCTTTGGCCATACGGCGCAATGCCTAAATGTAGCCAGCGGTTCCTGGAAATTCTTCGGATATCAGAAACCGAACCGAAAAATTCTCGGTCCTTCATTTCAGCGCGATCCAGAACCGACAACTCCATTCATATTTATTAGAGGTTTTTAATTTTGTTAAAATTTTACAAATATTTAACCTTGTAAAAAACAAGTAGTATAATTTGTTCATTCTATCTTAAGTTTTAGCAAAGTTTCTGCTTCTTATTATACCGTAAATTCTCATGCTTCCTGCTTCCCATTCCTTGAAGCATTTCAATTTTCTTGAAGCATTTTCAATTAAGCATTTCAATTTTTTGTCTGTTTCATTTTGAATTTTTTATCCAAACTTTCTTAACATAACTTATTAAACAAAACATTTTTTTAAATTTACTCTAATAGACTTCTTATTAAATAATTTTTTTAAAATTCTCTCCCCCTATTATTATTTGACATATGGATTTCTTTATCGATCATTTCAAAAAAATTCAATGGCAATAGCTATATGGCCTTTTTCCCTCTCAAATTTTGAATTTTATTCAATAAAATTTATAACAAATCCCTCATGCTTTTTCCTCTTCTTAAGGTCTCACTATTTTGCCAGAATCTGTGACATTTGCTGTTTCTTGTAGAGGGGGGACCTTGAAGATCCTGGAGGAAAATCATGCTTAATATCATCTAGTTTATAACTTAAAGCAAAAAAGACTCATTCTTCTCGCAATTTTTGCCTAAGCAATAATTTTAAGGGCTATATTTAAAGATTATATATATATATATAATATTATCATTAAAAATTTTTTTATTTCTATTTTCGCTTTAAGAGATTACTGTTATATCCTTAGGGCGCGGCCCAACAAGGTGACTAACAGAATAACACGAGAATAGATTAAGCAAATATATTAGGCAAAAAAATTATTAGGCAAAAATACTAAAAGAAGGCGGCAATGGTTTTCAAAGATACCTGCCAAGACTTTAGCTAAAACCTTCTTTCATAGACAGACATATACCTAACAATTAGGCATAACTTTGATCTTACCGTGAATATTTGTTTTTGGCGGAGGGAGTCAAATTATTAAAACAATCCTTCTGTTAATTGTTATTGTTTGTAATTTTTTCTACTTTTTAAAATTTAAATATAAACTACATAAATTTACGCGCGATGTCAATGCTTCCATGTGACTCTCACTTCAACTCTCGCTGCCAATGAAGAGACCACCTACGCACTCCCCTCTAAATTCCCTCTATTAATGCCAACATAAATTTTTTTATATTTATCAATGCCCTTTTATTATTAATTTTATTAAAGCAATAAACAATTAAAAAATTTTTAACTGGAATCCCCTAAGAAATATGTTGGTTGTTCATAATTAATAAGTTAATATAAGAATTAATATAAGAATTAAGTTAACAATAAGAATCAAGTGGTAAATGTCCAGTTGACTCCCTGGATGACTCCCTGCGCACTACTCTCCCATTGCATTTTGCGTGTCCTTAACCCTGCTTTAATACCGTATAACCGTTATTAATTGCCCTCCCTCGAGTAATTACCCCACTTCCATTAATTACACCATCCGACGATAGATTGAAACAATAATAACCCAAACTAAATGCCTTAAATCACGTTCAAATTTCAAACCTCGTATAATTACCCTCCTACGATTAATTACTCCCTTCAGCGGAAGTTCTAAACAATAATTACCCAGGGTAATTATTAAAGGATATACGGTAATTAAAGTCTAAACTTACAAAATTTAGTCTAGTGTATATTTGATTTTTTAATTGTAAAATAACCATCAACAAAATACAATTTAAAATGACAAATAAAACATCCGAAGGAATTAACAGTAATGATGGCCAGGCTGTGAAGACAGTTGCATCATTTCGCGCAAGCTTCTTTAAACAGTAAACTCATTATGCTTAATCCTATACAATATTAAACTTTAAAGTGTTGGACGTACACAGTCCCTAAGCTCTTCTAAAACATCAGGAAGTGTTGAATCTGATGAAGGTCCTAAGAACGAGCAAGCAAAGGTCAAAAACATTCATGTTTCTGACGTTACGCCTCCGCCTGGTTTTGAAAAGGTTGTACGGAAGGCTTCAAGAAAGCAAGACAAACAGACTATATCTGATGAAGAAAAATGTTTTTCTATGGCCAAGCATAATATCTTAATGAAAACACATAACAATCATCAATCCGCTGGGGATTTAACTCAATACATCAATCCGGATTTATTAATGTTTGTTTTAATATTTGAATTTAACTTAAATGGGGGATCGGGATCCCGGTCGGGATCGGGCAGGATTATCCCGGTTTTTCTAATCCCTATACCTAGGCCTATACCGCTGAATCCTAGATACCTAGACCTATACCGCTGAATCCTAATTGAAATTTATCCTTTCACAAATTCAGTGGCCGCCGTTCTTCTCTCCATCAAACTCCAACAGATCCCCTAGATAAGAAAATACGCCAGAAAGAAGCTTATAAAACAGCAATGTGTCAGGTTATTAATTATTAAGCTACAAGGCTTAATTAAACTTAAAGGCGTGGCTTCAAGGGAGATGTTGCGCATTCGGCGAACAATGTGGTTTTGCTCATGGCGAAGAAGAGTTGCAACCTTTACCGTTTGTAAACTTTGAGAAAGAGAGTTCAATTGCAATTAATTTTAGACCAAACCGGCAAAATCCAAAGTTTAAGACTCGGATTTGTGAAAACTATACTACAACAGGTATATGCCCTTTCGGCAATAGATGCTTCTTTATTCATCCACAACCGAATGCAAGTATTGACGATGTGCTCGAATACAAAGAGGTTTTGTTCAAGCTCTTGATCTTGATCAAAACATTATTTTAGGCACTTGATCAAAGAGCGCGCCAACTCGAAGGAAGGGCTATTATTCAGCATGAGGAAGTCGTGATTCCCCTTAATCAGATTGTTGCCAGTCCGAAAAGTAGTAAAAAGCCAAAACAATTGAGAAAACTGGAAAGTTGTGGAGATGTTAGTTATTAACCATTATTGCTTTAATATTTCTATAGTGGGAGCATTGATGGGTATGGAATAGTAAGAAGCTACTCCTCAGCACGGAGCAAAAATTTTGCTAGATCCGAGCCCGGAGACATGAACCTCCAGATCCATCACTTGTTAGGAGATTAGCCATTGTTTAGCTACCGATCAGGAAGCGGACATGTAACCTTGTTAATTACTTTCTCAGATTAGTTTCCTTATATGTAATCCCTAATGAAGGAAAAACAAAGATAAAACTCGAATTTCAAATATCTAACGATTAAAGTCCTATTTACCATCCTAAATTACAGTAACTAATGTAGATAAATTCAAACCTTGAGTCCAATAATTCTTATGGTTTCCCATTAAATTTCAAGTTTTACACTCAATTCCAACTCTCACAAATGCAACAAAGATTAGCACTTGAACAGCAAATTCAAAATGAAGCTCAGGCAATATTTACCGCTGGAGTGTTGGCGCAAACAGCAAAAACGTTGGAGAATAGAGCGATAGAACTTGAAATTAAAAAGCAACAATTGGAACAACAAACTCAAGCAAATTTCGCCAATTATGAAAATTTTCCTCTAAATTCACCGACAAATGGAAATTTTGGAATGCTTAGTAAAGGACCAACAAGTCGATTTGCTGGTAAAAATTTAGCTTTTTATCATTCTATTAGAGTGTACCCCGAACGCTCGTGGGCTGGCATGTAAGGGTGCGGTGTTTTCCAAAAGTTTTGTGGTGGAGTATAAATATCAAGGAGGATTAAAGGGATATAATAGAATCTTGAGTGATTAAGGGGGATTTCGAGTATTTAAATTGTATATCTGCGGATATAAGGGGATTTGGAAAATTAAGGGTGGTTTCAAGCTATATCAGTGCAAATGCAACTCTACTTTTTATGAATTTTAGAAAAGCATTAACTCACTATCTTGTAATTTTTAGCCATCAAGAATTCAGCAATATCGGGATCAATGCCGCTAATCCATTCAAATTCTTCCGGCAATTTATTGTACCAACATCCCAATAGCAAGATGAATAATGTAAATTTAATTTAAAATCTATATGAAATATTCCTGGACTACCTAATAATGTTTATTTTCAAAAAAATATACTCTTTTACAGGAGAGATATGCTGATAGTGTTTTTGATCATCCAAAATCGTTCAATTTTAAAAAATCCACAATAATGCCATCTGATATTATGTTTGGAGCGAATGAAGTGCTCGATTTGAGTGATAAGGAATCCTCAGGTAAATTTACGTAATGTTGTATCTAATCCTTCCTCCGGAAGGAATGGGAATGAAATGACTGTCAGTTATGTCCTGCTTGGACCTCATTCCTTAAAATCGTAAAATAGTGGTTAACTTTACTTAACAAATATTATAAAATCCACATAAATGTAGGTAGCTTTCCTGTTGTGTAAACATATTTTCATGTTTTTGGTTAGCTTATTCAAGCTTCCGCTTTATTTTTATCATTTATTATAGTCCTATTTTTTGCTTTTTAATACGCTCTATTTTTTCAGGACCTCACACACCCCCCGGCTTTTACCAAAATCATATTGTTCCAAAATGCTGTCTTGGCAACCAATGGGGATCGTTAACCTCTTCACACCATAATCATGAAAATTCTATGTGGCCGTCTACTGTCGACTCCCCAGAATTGAAGACAAATCAGCATAAAGAAGTCCTGCCCTCATTCAGTTTGTTTGGACCAGAAAATTTTAATAATAGTGTTAGTGGAAGCGGTGGAGATTTATTAAATATTTGTGGTTCAAAAAATATGTTAAATGGAAGTTATTGTAGTAGCGGGAAACGATCACCTATTATGGGGGAATTTATGAACGGGTTGTTGTCAGGAAGACGTTCATCTCATACGCCTTTATTGGATGAAGGTGGGGGAGAATCTGCTCAGGCAATGTTAGATATGTTATTAGAACCTGGAAGTATTCAAAAGGTTAATAATCATAGAGCAAATCGTTCAGTTGAAGTTTTATCAAGAGCTAAAGGTTTTATTTATGCTCAACTATGTGGGGGTTATAAATGCTTCTCTAAATTATTGCCCTGGCCCTTTGATCGAATTTTAAGAACACATTTGTGGGGCCTATCAAGTTTCGTTCACCTTATTCGCTTCAAGGAATAAGGCCCTCTTATATCCCTCTAAGTCTCAATCCCTCCAATACCTCGAAGCTATACTTCAATTAACCCATCTTCAGTTTTAGATAATACAGGGGAATTATCAGCTATTGGCGCGGAGAAAAAAGCTGCGGATTTATTAAAAGTATTATCTCCGTCCTCAAATAATTCATGGGAGGTCGGGGCACGTTCAACTGGAGCTTTAAATAAACAATTTGAATCAAAATTGATTGAGCAATTTGGACCTCCGCCAGGATTTGAGCCTAAAGGGAAAGATATTGGAGGAGAAAAACAGTGTAAAGATGTTGGGTTGTCAATTAAACATGAAATTTTGAAAAAGAATGAGGTGTCGATAAAACACGAAATTTCGATAAAACATGAACTGTCAAAAAGTGACGAGATGTCAATTGACCGTTTAATTAGAGAAAAAGTTGGAAAATTGCCAGTAGTAAATTGTCTGTTTGGAAGACATGGGTCAAACGATTCTACTGAAAAGTTAAAAAATAATTGCGGATTTGAGAAGGAAGAAGATAAAAACGTTTTGGTCTGTTTGATAGACTCCTGAATTTTTGCTTTATATAAATTTTTTTATTAATTCCGACTTTTTAGAATTCGACAAGTAGTGATTATAATGGAGGCGTAGCAATAACAACAAAATCTAGTGGAGATGATCGTTCGGTTGATAACGATTCTAGTTCGCCCATATATGGAAGTTCCTTCCCTACAACTGCGCCTATCTCAGGCGCTACTTTTCAGCAAATTAGTGAGCTAAAAGGTTCTTTTAGAAAACATCCAAACTTTATAATAATTCAGATCAATTCCAAAATGATTATCCTCCATTGGAAACGTCACCATACGGTTCAAACAGTTCACTTCGAACGCAAGTCACCTCAAACATTGTCAGCTCACTTCGAAAAAATCTTGAGCAAATATGGACATCAAGGTCCGTGTTATTTAGTGTATTCCTTCTTGGGCCTATTTCTCCCCTCCACAGAATTTGTGTTCTGTGCACAGAATTCTATTCACAGAATCTGTGGAGGGGAGAAATAGGCCCCTGAAAGGGATATTATGGGTCGTCCTCTATACCGTATTCCGTTTAGTAAAATTATCTCTCAATTTGAATAATCCCTCTAATTGAGTGTCGCTTTTGTGGGTAGTGTTAAAAGAATGACTGTCATTCAATTGGAGAGAATATGGTATATTTTGAGATATATCATTGTGTATCTATCTACACTATGTTACGACCCGCTTACGTAGACGAAGTTAACAGAACGTTTATCACACAAAGAAATACAAAGCAGACGAAGGTTGTAGGAAGAACTAAAACTGGGAGAGAGAACTAACTATTGGCTGGGCTTTTATACTAATCAATTTAAGGGCTGACGCCCATACACAACACACTATATCTCGGTTATCGAGATCAAGATATCGTCCTCGATTATCGCACGACCCTCTGTAACCCTCCACTTTTAGTCTCACTCTAAACTATTATAGTCGAAAACATCCTGAAACTTTTAAGGCGATTCCTCTCAAATTTGACTATCTTTAAAAAAATTTATTTCTAGTTTGCCAGAGATTGATCAAAATTCTAATAGTAGCAACACAAAACAAATAGATAAAATAAATTACAATAAACTCGAAGAAACTGGAAGCAAAACTACAGTGATTGAAACCACAATAATTTCTAATAATGAAACTAATAAAAACAGTGTCACAAAATTGTGTTATTCCGATGTTGCAAAGAAGGCAGTAAAAAGTGAGGATATCGAGGTTCTTGGGCAAGAAATAGAAATTATTGGGTTGCCACATGAGACTGGAAAAGATGGCAATTTGAATAAAAATTTTGAGCCTGGAAGTGGGAAACAAACTTGGGCTATGCGTGCAATTAGAAAGGTTATAAAGAATTAAATTTTTAAACAAATCTTTTCAATTTAAGTCGTGTCTTGGTGGGAAATCTACATCCACGCCTTCTCTTTCTCGTTCTGTTTCTATGGGGGTTGAACAAATTGTTAGCAAGATGGAAAGTAAATAATATTTAAAGGGTTTATGTATTTAAATTATGTTTTGTTGCATAAGCTTGCGTGATAACCTCAACGGATTTTTGGTTCCATGAGCCCCATGAAACGGATTTTTCGCCCCATTGGTCTTGAAGAACTACATATGGCAGGCATATGGGTATTTTTGGAGTATTCTTTGGGTATTCTTGAAGTATTTTTTGGGTTCCCTGTATTTTCTTTGTTTGGGTTAGTCTTTATCCTCTACAAATTATGGCCTTGTTTCAGGCAAGTTTTTCGGTCTCGGACGTCTTAGTCAATTCGAATCCCTATTAATACCTATATTAGATTTTAGCCTAAATTGACATCAGTAGCTATCTTCCCGCAAGTTTATGCTTTGTATTATTTTTCTTGCGGGTTTTTATCTTATTCTTCCTAATAGAATGACCTCTGGGTGTCGTGTCAAATGTGGCACTTTTGAGGGCATTTACAAAATATAAGACAGTCATTCTATTAGAGAGACATTTTTACTCTGTATAAGTTGGGATTTCTCATTTTTTATGAGCACATAGGTGTATGTAAATTATAACCCCTAACTGGGCCAATTATCTCAATTTTTAAGCCAAAATTCACATTTTTAAAAGTAATTTAACCCAGGTATATGATACATTTCCTCAAACAATTTTCCAATTCCTCATATGTATTTACCAATCCCGGTTTTATGTAATTTAAATATTTTAAATTTAGTATAGATTAAACATAAATATTTAATTTTTTGTTCTTTATAAATCAAAAAAGTAAATATTGATATGAATATTTTAACTAATTTTCATTATTTATGATATTTTTGTCATTATTCAAGGAAATACGTATATTTAATTTGTCACTTTTAGTGTAAATACAATAGAATGAATTGTTTTTGTTATCGAATTTCAAATATTCAAATTTATAAAATCATTCCATCATCTTATTTCTTAATGGATTTTGACGTGGATATATAGTTGTAACCACTTGAACATTTGTAACAATACTTGAACTGGGGTATATGATTGGCATCCTTTTAAATAACTTCGGAATCCAAGGAAATTCTTTGTTCAGAGCAGTTCGATATTCCGAGCTGTATTTTTAAATTTTAAAATTAGAATTTTAAATCCTCCAACAAATTTTATTTACCTGCAGAAATACAAAACTGGGGCGTTGATTGCACCCGAGATCGTTACAAGCTGAGAAAAAAGACGAGTATAAAGGAATATCATTCTGGATCATTTGTTATTAAGGGAATTATAAATTGACTACAAAACACTCCAGCCAGAAAAAAGAAAACTATAACGAATAAGATAACTACAAGTGATTTATATATTCGTTGTGTTTGAAGACGTTGAAAGGCTGAATCTCCACTTTGCCATACTGAAATAACAAATATATTATCAATTTAGTCATTCAATTTTTTAAGTTTTTCTGGTTCCTCCCTTAACCCCGAAACGGGAAATTTTTTTCTACTAACCCGCTGATCATCACTAATCATATTTTACATGGGAATAAATTATCAACTATATGTAAACTAGAGAGCGAGCTGGATCTGGACCTGGATCTGGACCTTGATTTTTCGAGCTGGATCTGAACCTTGATTTTTCCTGGATCCAGAGTCCAGATCAAGGAATTTTTCAGAGTTCCTTGATTTTTCCTTGACTCAAGGTCTAATGTAAACCAAGTCTGGTACATTAGATTTCTTACAATGATCTAATCTTAAACATACATACATTTAATAATAATCCCAATAACAATATAATTAAATACAGTAACCAATGTAATCACAATTGAGAAGTAATAAGCAAAACTAAGTACATCGCCTCCAATTTGCTCTCCAGGATTGCAATAAACTTTTCTATATTACATAAAAGGTTGAAGATTTTTTATAATAACTTACATATCTGAGTGATCAAGAGCATAGCTGAAGCCAAAAATCATTAAAATAAAACAGTAACTCAAGGATAATGTATTAAGAACCATTACGTATTTAAAGGCTCCTTTCTTTAGAACAAAGCGGTAACTAGAAATTAAAATATTATGTTCATTTAATTAATTTTTTAAATTTAGATAGTTTAGTAGGATACGAGAGCTAGATTCTTTTAAAAATTGCTTTTTGCAAATTTTTCCCTTTGTGTACTTCGAAATTGAACTTTTTGTATCTACACTAAACATTTTCTCGATCCAAACACTGAAATAAAATGACCCATTGTGTTTAATGTGGACTGTTGGCTGTGCTTTGATTTGGGTCCTTTCATGTGGTTTATATCTCTTATCCCATATAATTTCTCGAGTTTTTACTTGAGACTTACAAAATTGGAAAAAGTAGAGAAACAATACGATCTATGCTAATGAACAACATATTAAAGTTGGAATTAATAGCAAAGGCTATATTTTGCCAGCTGGTAGCAAAAGAACAATACGTTATAGGAATCTTTGTGTGAATTAACACAAGAAATGTTGGCAAAAATGTTCCAGACTCGAGGACTGCATCACAAAAGCAATTAATAGAAAGAAGTAGTCCATAACTTGATTGGAGATTTCTGGAATTTTTTATAAATTTAATTTACCATATTGACCCCTTCTAAAAGAATTAATTACTTGTGTTTGTAAGTAACCCATACAACTGTTAAATTAAGAATAATGCCAATAATGGAAATTGACTGTTGGATAAGTATTATTAGAAGATCGTGAGAATAATTTTCATCCATTATATAATTCAGTTAAATTATGCTAAGGACAAAAAATTAGAATAATATGTACATAAAAAGCTTTCTTTCGTATGGAATCCGAAAAGTTAGGGAGCATCTCGGGAAGCATTAGTTCTAAAACGAAAACTTTTGATCAATAGAAAAATGTACTATCAAAGACTCAGTTGCCATAGATCTTAGACATTAGAATATAGTAAAGCAGCTGGGATATAGCGGCTGGGAGCAAACCTGCTTCTTCAGTAGCTCCTTACTGGAATTAGGTAAATACGTGGTAAACCTAGATGTTATATCAAGAAACATTAAAAAGCTGGAATAGATTTTCTCATGAAAATGATTTTAAATGGGTTAACAAACTGAAAATCTAGATTTTAAACATTCCGGTAATCCAAGTTCTACTCAATTATTTAAAACAAAAAAGAATGACAGACTACTTTTAGTTTAATAACGTTAAAAATTATTTTAAATTTTTTTTATACCAAATATCCAATTAATTATTCAAACTATTATTTATAAGTAAAAGTGCCGATTAAAGTGCTTTAGACTACTAGAGCACTCATTAAATTTTGACACTTGGCTTAATAACTAAATTTATAAATAATTTACATTTCAAACATTAATGTTGCAAGTACAAAATAATTAATTAAGACGACGTTAAAATATTTAACAATTTAATAATACATAATTATAAAAAAATATAAAATTAAGGTGGTCTCGAAATAGTTTTTCTCCTTTTTGATGAATTCTGTGGAATGTGTGGGATATTTTAGGGATATATTTTACATTTTAGTAGATCCTCATCCTTATCATCCTTTTTAAGAAAGTTTCTTCCTTCTTCATAACCCCATTTTGATAATTATCAATAATGAATACAATGTTTAGGCCATATCAAATAAAGTATTAAAGCAATAATTCCATGGAAGATTAACAGTATTAAGATAAGAACGCATATGGTTCTGCCAGAACACCAGATTCCATCAGTGTCAGCAGCACACAACATGTTAGGACGATTCCAACGATTCCACCCGAAAGCGCGTTTATAACGACCGAATGAATTGATGGCGTGTTTTGGCTTTATGAAGGCTGAAAAATAAATATATTTTTTATTTTTTGAATGATTTATGAGAGGAGATGAAAGGAGATTTTGAACGTCAATCGTTAAATAAGGGGCATCCAGTGTAGCCAGTTTTTAGATAAGAGGCATCCAGTTCTCGTTTAATTAGTTGGCAGGCTTCGTTTAAATTTCAAAATTATTGCAGCTTCTGAATGATTCGATGATATCCCCAAGTTGAATCGAATTATACAAGAAGGTATGGGATTAACACAAGACCATGCGAATTAAAATATAGCTAATTTTTTCAGCCCTTTATCAATTTGGGCATCAAAACCTTTGTTCATTTTACCTTTTTTCTTGTCAAGATGACAATTCAAGTTTTCCACAATTTTATTCCAATCAAAACCAAAAGCCAATGTCTTCCACATCGAAAACCCCATATTTATGTTTTTAATATTATCCTTTTCTTTTCCTTCTAAAATTTCATTTATCATATCAACGAGTTCATTTAACAATTTGTTTGGACCTTTCTTTATTAATTCTTCAAAATCAAAAATTTTGGCATTTTTTAACGCCGAAATATGCTCATTTGAATCTTCTGCATTTACAATTTGATTGTAAATTTCCAAAGCTTTTTTGTGTCCCGAATGGAAGATAGAAAGATCAAAGGTACTTTTAAATTTTGATCTATTTTGTGCAGAACTTTCAACTTGATTAAACATTGTTTTTGCTTGTTCTATTAATATTTTTAGATTTTCCTCCAAACCGTTTGATAATCCGTTTGTCTAAAATTAAAAAATTATACAGCTCTAATAAGACCTAACTACGATACAAACAAATAACTCTTGTAAATGTAAAAAACTTCTTAATAATCTCGTAATGATAATGTACTGGATTTTTACTATTCTTACCGTATTATTTTTCACCTGAAGATTAGAGTTGGGGGATTTCGAGTCGAGCCGACGTTCATGTCATTTTTTTCGGACCTCATTTTTGTCGAACCTTTTCGGGTTAAAATTCAATGCCCGACTATATCTTCCGAACGGACCGAAACGCCTCCTCTCTCCAACCCTAATTTTAATCTATCCGGCTAATGGAAATTTTAGTTGTGAAAATAGGTCAATAATAAAGAGGATATAACACCAAATCTGGGTTAAAAGCCTGTTGTGTTTTTCAGGTACTCGAATCTTGGGACAGGATTTGAGCTCGGATTGAATTGCACAAACTATTTCCTGAAAATCTTAAATTTTACAAACCCCTTCCTGATTTTTTATCTCAATTTTATTTTCAATCTTATTTAATTTTTGATCCAATCCCTTCAATTTAAGAAAATCAATTTGTTTGTTAATTTCACTTTGGCATTCATTTTCGACCACATCTTCAACAAGGTTTTCATTGTTTTCAATTTTAACAAGTGAAAATTGTTCAAAGTTGACAATTAAAATGAAAATTAGAATAAAATTGCGCATTACTCAAATTATAAAAGAAAATTTTAAAATTAAAAAATAAATAAAAAAAGTTGAAAATGATTGTTATTTAAAGGAAGCTTAGAGACAATCTAATTAAGAAATATTTAAATGTTTTTCTCAAATTTTAAAAAATAAATTTAAAAATAAATAAATTTTTAAAAGTGCATAAATAAATCCCTTTAAAAAAATTTTTTAGAGGGATTTTTAAAAGTGCATTAATTATTTCACGTGTTGCACTTTTAAAAATAAAGTGCCGCGCAGTGTTATGGATTTTTTTCAAAATCAGTCATATTTGTTTTTTAAATTATTTTTTAAATTATTACAATTCCTGAAAACAAGGGGTTAAAGCAATTGAGGATTTTTTTCAATTGTGCCTGCCCCAGATGAATCCTTTTGGGATTTTCCTGTTTGGGACTTACCTAGCCTGATTGTTTAAAAAAGTTAGGCATGTTCTATTGCCCATAAATCCAAAGCAATAACCATTTAACATAGTACATTACTAATAAAATCGGACAAAAACTTAGCCAAATCGGAACTAAAAACCGATATTTTTGGCGAATTAACCTAAGCCCAAACCAAAAAACGCGGGCCAAAACGCGAAAAAAAACACAAAAATACTAAAACCGAGGTTGTGTCCAATCCTAATTAAATAATCAAATAAACTTAAATCCATCTTTAATCCCTTCTATAAATTCATCTCATGCTATAAGCGCTTTATAAACCCCAATAATAACACAATACACTTCTGACCCAAATTTCCACAAAATTATTGCTGTGAGGAAAGACATTGTTGCAAACATGAAAAATAACATTAAATCCTTGCAACTCAAACTATTGTATAAAACAGGCTGTACGGATGGAATGTTGCTTGCTTGCTTATTTAATAATCGGCCTTGACCAGTCTCTGACCTTGCAACTAAAAAAATATTTTTATAGTCTTAAATAAAATTGGCAAATCGAACTTCGTTCCCCCTCCCATCCCTTCCATGAAGTGGGAAAATGATCCGCGTTAATCTATGGCGATAAGTGCACAGCTCTGCTTTTTTGACCCAATGTCCGGTATTGTGCGTTTGTACACTAAGGTTGGCGGATCCGAAAAAAAATCCTAATATTTGGAACTTACTTATTACCTATAGTATTAATATACCCCCAACTTCGGCTTATACCCCCAACTTCAATTTACCAAGAAATATTAAAACAAGACCGATTGGTATTTGTTCAAAATAAACAGGTTTCAATCTGTACAAGGTCTGTAAGGTTCTCTCCTCGAAAATTCCATTATTGTTAAATATCATTGCATCACTAAGCTGTAATTTAACGTTATACTTATTATAATTTAAAATATTAGTTCAATACCATACTGGTGTATATTGTCCAAAATAATAGCAGCATTCAATTTCAGGATAACATAAAATTCAGAGGAGGCGTTAAATAGAATTGGAATTATTACTTAATTACTGTATACTCTAATTGAAACTCTGGGCTTATATTTTTTAATGGGTCTGTTCAGATGGGCTTATATTAGAGGTATGTTCTACAAGAGGTGGGCTTCAATTAGAGTAGTTACGGTATATTTATTTTATTTATTTGTTTCATCAAACCAATGGCTTACATACCGTATTTATTCTAATTGAATGGCAGCCATTCTATTTTTCAATACCCCAAAAAATTGTCATTCAATTGGAGGTGCCATTCAAATGGAGGTGCCATTCAATTAGAATAAATACGGTATATTAGTCAAAAACAGACCAAAAAATTAATAAAGCTGAGTATAAGCAAGCTATTCAAATAATAAATTAAAAATTGGTTTGCGCAATCTTCTTCTAGGCTTTCAAGTAGATGCGATATATCTCAAAATTAATTTATACTTAATACGTTCCGCATACTATTTTGTAATAATTAAAAAGATGACAGATACTTATAAAAACAAAATATGATTAAATACCAGGGGCTGTGAAATTTTTAAAATACTTTTTTAAATTTAAAAATTTTAAAAATAATTGGGCTCAGCCGGTGATCGAAACCGGGACCTCTTGCACCCTAAGCAAGAATCATACCACTAGACCACTGAGCCGACATAAGGAGAATAAAATAAATTTTACATGAAAGCGCTGATCAATTGATTAAAGGTGATCAAAGCGCTTAGCAATCATACGCGATCAATTCCTTTAGTAAATGAAAATTAGTTATAGAGAAATAATTGAATGTAAATTATATAAATGAATCAAATTCCATAAAGTCAGCACTTCCTCAACTCGATAGAGTATATCAGCATAATTAACCCATCTATCCGCTCCGATAATTCCTTCGAAGTTTATTAAAATTTATAAAAGTTTTATTAAAAATTTCAAAAATTTACTCACTCTGCTACTTGGGCGAAACGGAACCGGATTTCAAAATATTTTTTATTTATATTGTCTATGGCCAATATTACATAATAAAAAATAAAAGTGCAACACTTGAGAATGGCGGCATTTAAAGATGCCCTTAATCACTAAATCAGATTATGAAATATTTCATAGGCCTGTCTATAATTTTTCTCAAGCAATGTTTATATAAGAATGAGAAAGTGCCATTTATTAAATTTTAAGTTTTGCTTTCAAATAAATATAAAATAGCTAAATTCAGTATTTAATGTGCCACCCTTCTACTATTTTTTGATATATTTTTTAAATAATTATTTTACCGTTGTCTTTTACATTGAAATCGTAGAAGATATGGAAGGCCTACTACTCCGAAGATAACTTGATTGTTCCACAATCCAACCCGTGATTTGATAATAGCTTCTGAAAGCCCAGGACAACTTAATTCCTTTTTAAATTTAATTTCTCTATTTAGTCAGAAACATATCAAGCTTCAAAAATATTTTTAAATAATTCCCCATATTCTACAGAATCTGAAGATGCGCATCTATTTATTTTTATGTTTATTATTAATTTTATTTAAAATTGTTTTGAATGTCAAACCAAAAAAGGTTCCAACATACTACGATATATTGAACGTCAAAAAGGAAGCTCCACATAATGAGATTGTGAAATCATTTAGAAAATTGGCACTGAAATATCATCCAGACAAAAATAAAGGTCCAGAAGCTACCAAAATTATGCAAGGCATTAATGAAGCTTATAATACCCTTGAAGATGAGGATAAAAGGAAAGAATACGATTTGAAATTGGCACGTAAACCGCTGAATAAATATTATAAAAAACGGAAAAATACTGCAAATGGAGAGGCTGGATCTTCTGGAACTAATAAAAGAAAAAGAGGTTTGATTTCTACTTGAATAAAAATAAATTGAAAGTTTCAAAACTATAATTGTAAGATGGTAAAATGACGTATTATTTTCCGCCTACCCTATGAAACTTAGGACATGAATCAAAATCTGAAACGGTGAGGTGGTAGTAGATAGACTGGGAGAACATTGTAATAGTAGCTATATGGGCGTTGAAGAAACCGGAATCAGCCAGGATATCCTAAAACTTTATATCCCATCCAAAAACCTATCAAAACCGAAGGCATTGCGGTTGTATAATAAACTTACTATAGTAAAACTACAATTTTAGTCTCTTTATTTTAGCAAATGCTCCACAACGCCATCTAACACCTATGATTTTCACTACAGAATCATCTAATTATATATTCATTGCATACCCTGACAGGATTGCTGTAGTACATCGAGGAACTTTATATATTGACAATACCAGAAAAATTACAATTAATGGGGGTTATAATAATTTTGAAATTTATGGAAATAACTTGAAGCTTAGCGATCAATTTTTTGGCTTTGTTGTTGAGAATAGTAGATCATTTAAATTTATTATTTATGGTTCAGCTAATAAAGTTAGCAGAAAAGATGTCAGTAGTTTCAATTTTAAATTCGATCAGTCACCACCCACCTCACAGCTAAATGATGTTATAATTAATGGAAATTCTAATAAATTTGAGGTAATCATATTTTATTTTAATAAGAGATCTCATTATTAGTATCTATTTGACCTCAGTTAGCATATAAATCAGATGATGCTAGAGGTATTAGTTTCAGAGCCGTTGATCTCAGAGTTCTCTTCCCGGAGATCCAGATAATAGATCATATCTGAATTCTCAGAATTCTCAGTATTTCGGTCACAGAGTTCCGATCTTGATATCTTATGTTAAAGGTATTCAACAAGCTCAAAGTAAGCAATTCTAAAGTATGAGTTAAAGGTGATCATTTTATTGCTCCCTCGTCGGGTTTGGCCTCATTTTTAGCGGACCGGCCCGATCGAGTCTTTTTCGAGTGAAAAATTTGCACCCGACTCGTTCTTCGGGCCGGGCCGGATCGAGCTCCCAACCCTACACCCTTTTCCCATCTGCCTTCCACTATTTGAATGACTAAAATATTATTTAAGATTTATATTGAATATCATCCCAGAAAAACTGGTTCAAATCTTATCGAAATACATGGAAGTGAAAATACCATTCAATTTTCTGGACGTAATATAAATTTTAATGGCCAAAAATTTAAAATGGGTGATGATCAAATCTCGAAAGAATATTTTAATTCTGGACAACCAACACAAAATTCTAATCCCTTCAAAGGAAAAACACACACTTTTAATTTTGGTGGAGCTCAGCCAGGATATAATTACTTCCCTGGAGAAACCTCACAAAATCAAAATAATTTTGGAACGCAAAGCCAAACATGGGAATTTGGAGAAGCATCAAACTCCCCAATTAATGTTCCAAAAACATCTCATTTATTCCCAGAAACACCCAGCAAATTTGGTGAGCAAAAAGATGATGAAAGTATAGATTTGGAGTTAAAATTGTGAAAATTTTGAATTAAAATTGGAAGACTGGTATTCAGAAAATTATGATATTTAGAATAATTTATGTCTGATTAAGATTATTAAAATAATATTTTTTAATTTCCGTAAACGGAATTTTAAACAATCGTATATTCAAATTATTTAACTCCGTCTGAAGTTGTCAGAATATAATAATTTTTATGCCATTCGACTCAGTACAAAGAGACGCGTCGAAATAGCCACAGTATCTTAGTTTTGAATTTTTGCCCCGAATCGAGTTATTCTAATTCGTGTCCTTGGTTCGAAATACACAAATTTTGAGCTCAGAATGGACTGAGCAAGCTCGATTATCTACTTGGGTGTTTTTAAGATGTCTCCCCAATTCTTCATCATTTACCAAAAATTTTAATATTTATTTACATCAGTGGAGGTGGATGTATTTTTATTTTTTTCATTTCCTTCTGGTTAAGTTTATAAGAATTATAGATTTACAGGATTTATTCAAATAAATACGTCAGTTTAAAAACAACACCATCTTTGTTTTCCAAAAGCCATTAAAGCTTCTAACTTTATAAGTTCTTGGACATGGTCATCCTCTCGTTGTTGAAGCTTCCTAATATTTAAATAAATTAGCACTTATAAAGCCTTGCTATTAAAAAATTTTACGTTGCTATTGTTTCCATGCATTCTTTGATTCCTTGACCTGTAAAAGCACTCGTCTCGAAGAACATCATGCCAAATTCCTAAATTATTTTTAATTTTTTTATAAAATCTATAAGAATACATCAGCCAAGTCCTTTCCATGCCCGAAAGTTATTGTTCTAGATTGTTCATTAGGGTACAAATCCACTTTGTTTCCTACTAGACAAAGGATACATCCATCATCCACTCCATTGCGAACAGATTCAATCCAATTACGAACATTTACAAATGAGGTTTCCTGTTATAAGGGAATATATAGATGAGGTTAAAATGGAACTCGGTGAACAAATAAATAAAATTTTTATATAATAAAAATAATTTTCAACTCGAGTCCTGAAGGGAGTTTAAGCCTTGTTGATGCTTAACAATTTCTTATTATCTTAGAGGATACAACTATTAGTTCTAAGACTTGATGGCCATAAATTCTATGTCCGAAAAAATACGAAACCTTTCCTAGTTGTTATGAAACAAGGTCTAGTATTAATAAGATTCAAATTCATAGTCTTAGAGGATGCTACATATAAGACTATTGGTCATAAAAGATTATGAAATGCTTCTGGTTAACCATAAAACTATTTTGCCTGCCTTAGGCATTTATATGTTAAGTGTCAATATTAATAAAGTTCAAAACTAACGGAAGTAACATCATACATCAAAATAACACCATCTGCTTTACGGAAATATTGTTTAGTAATTGAACGAAATCTAGATTGAAAAGCTTCTTCTATATTCTAAAAAATAAGAAACCTTTCCTGCCCAGCTGTATCCCATAATTGAAGTGCTACAAGTCGATCATCTATACTCATAGTTTTGACAGTAAAATCAACTCCTAAAATTTAGCTATTTTCTGATTTTCGGCTTCAAAAACTCTAGAATAATTTAATAACCTATAGTCGCACAGAACAATGGCTTGAAACGATTATAACAAAATCTTTAAATAAAAATTCAAAATAAACTCCATTCCAGTTACCTATGTAAAACGCAGGTCTTTCCAACAGCTGAATCTCCAACAAGAACAATTTTGAATATTCTTTCTGGGCAGTACGGATCCTATAAAAGGATAGGTATTTTAAAAAGCAGTTCTCCGGAACTGGATTTCCCGTGAGTAATTATTCAATCAGCCTAGAAGCCCGGAATTCGATCAAAATTTGGAAATAAATTAACGTAAATGCTATAATTAAAGCTCCGGGCATCCATTATTGGTGGGACCCTCGGGTGGGTTTAGATATGGGCTTTTAATAAAGCCGGGCTGTAATTAGTTTATTTACGGAAGATTAAATCGACAGACTAAGTCTTATCTCAGATTACAGTCATGAAATTTCTTATACTTATACAGACTATATACTTCGAATATCTCATTTATTTTCATAAACCTGTAAAATTTTACAAAACTTTACCAATTGTCCACGTGAATTTTGCCGATTGAGGAGCTTAATTTTTCAAATATTTAATCATCTCTACTTAAACCTCTTACTAAATTTCCACAAAATGAGCGTCTATTATAATTTGCCCTATCGTATTCATAATTTTGAGGAGGATCGGAGCACGAAGAATCTATTGTAGTTGTAGTATTAGTCTCTTCACTAAGCATTACTTGTGCTCGAAGCTTAAATTAAGGGGGATTATCTAAGAATTTTTTAACTTTAATAAAGCCCTGCTCTAAAAAATTTAAAAAATGAATATACTCCATTTATGCTTTCCGGTCCTTGAGTGCTCGAAACTAGTGGATTTTGAACTGCCAGAGGGGTACAAGACAAAAAATCATCAAAATTTGATATGGTTGTGTTTGTATCTACATTGTATGAAGGCGAAAAACCTTGAAATATTTATTTGTTCATGGCAAAATATCAAACTTTATACTTGTATCAATGAAGCTAAAAGGTGCCGGTGCTTCAAAGGGAGAAGCTAAGCCTCCTCCACCACATTCAGCATTAGGGTCATTTTCTATTGCAATTGTTAAGCGACTTTTACTGGCAGATTTTGGGCTCTGTAAAGAAAAATTTTTAAGCAAATTTAACCTCCCCCCCCCTCTCCCACCTCCATGAAAAAATTTCGGGGAGGGAGAACCCATCCCCTTTCGCCGTTCTCCTACCCCTCTCCCCTCAATAAATCATTTATTCCAAATATTCATAAACAAAATTTACTAATTGATGTCTTGCTTCATGTTCTCCATCATATCCCAAAGGTATTGTTCGGAATTCACAAATGTCATTTTGCATTGTCTTCGTTATTGATCCTTTAAACGTGGCGTGAATTGAAATTCCCAAAAATTCAATTTAAAAAATATTTTAGGTAAGCCTTTTTACTTTTTATTGAAGTGTAGATTCAGTCAATCTGCTCTCGTTTTTATTCAGCTTACCGCTCGCATCCATAACGTAAAAGGAATATTAAAAGAGTAAAATCATCGACTCTTCCTTTTTTTATTACCAGCCGCTCTCTTCTTCCAGTTGAATTATTGAAGGAAGCTTTTAGCTGGGATTTATTTTTAGACCTTTATTTTGAAATCACTTAGGCAGTATCAAATATGTATAAATTTTCGAAAAAATTTTCTAAAAAATTTCATTGGCACTCAATTGAAAATTCCAATCAATATCTTCTCTATTACCCTTCAATTTAACCAAAATCTAACCAAACTCCATTTTATTAAGCTTAATTTGTTGAGAAATCTTTTTACAATTTTTGTATCTCCTTATACAGCTGAGAAAATAATGAAGGTTTACATCAGTTATATTGCTGGATGACAAAATATTGCACTTTAATAATAAAATAAAAAATTGGAAGATGCTAAATTAAAGATATAATTTGCCGAGTTTAAGATATCCATGGAAATCAACAGATTTGTGTTGATTGATCCGAATGGCTCTCCAACGCATTATCTCTATTATCGCTATTATGTAAAAAAAAGCCTGGACGGTCTAAGACAAGGAAAGCCTGGACGGCCTTACACAATTTCAAGCTGTACATTCATCGAGATTGAAATGCTTTAAGTAAGATTAGAAGGCTTGGATGAATCACAGGTTAATCTTTCTAAATTATTGCTTACTTCAGTCAAAGCTAGCAGGGAAATTACTTCCTGATAAGCTAAATTAAACTGATTTTTAATTTGACTATAAATTTAACATTTAAAGCAAATGATGGTAGTCCAGTAAATTTATTGGAAAGGTTACGGTCTGGCTTGAAGAAAGAGCACAAATTTTGAGTTTTAAATTCACTATTGTTTCAAAAATTTAACTAAAAAATTTGAGTTAAATAAGAAATCTTTAGCTTCGCTGGCTAGTAGAGAAATTTTAGCATCTCGGGCCATCAAAATTTTGAAACAATAATTTACAGTTAAATAAAATAAAGCTTGGAATCAACCCTCGACAATTTTAAATATTTTTCGTTTTTGACCATTTTGAAAAATAATGGATTGTAGATATATTGTGTATTTCACGACTTTAGTCATTTTTAAAAATAGGGAGAAGTGCAAAGAAGAAGAGAAAAGGAAATAATAGAAGGAATAAGAAAAAGAAAAGAATAAGAAAGAGAAAAAAAATAAGAAAAAGAAAGGGAAATAATTAAAGCGCGTATAAATAATTAGTGTTCTCTAGCCTTCTCTATTAACCGTCTAAAATTTGTTAATTATCAAACTTGTCAATATGTTTGGATTAAGGGAAACATAACCTCTGTTGCCTCCGTTGGTGATTGACTTCGGGGCCCAATTGGTGCTGTGACTCTGTTGCTTCCGTTGGTGTTTGCCTTCGGGACCTCATTGTTGCAGTGACTTTGTGGCTTCCGTTGGTGTTTGACTTCGGAGCTTCATAGGTGTTATGGCTTATGGCATTCGTTGGTGTTTTCCTTCGGGCCATGGGTCGATTTTTGGATGGTCCATATGCCGTTTTGTATATGGATCGGGCCCTCCTCGAAGGGTATTTTTAATCTTGTTGACTGTTTATGTAGGCCTTTTTCATATATACATTAATATACCTCTTAACGTGCCCGCTCAACTCATCTAATCCTTAACTCATCCACACACCCAAAAACGCTCAACTCATCTAAACGGCTAAAATTCCTTAACTCATCCACACGGCCAAAAACGCTCAACTCATCCAATCCTCAACTCATCTAATGCTTAACTCATCCACACGGCCAAAAACGCTCAACTCATCCAATCCTCAACTCATCTAATGCTTAACTCATCTACACGGCCAAAAACGCTCAACTCATCCAATCCTTTGGAACGAGACTATTGAGTACCAGTCGTTTGAGTCCCTGGCCGTTTGAGTCTCTGGCCGTTTGAGTCTCTCGCCGTCTGAGTCTCTCGCCGTCTGAGTCTCTGGCCGTTTGAGTCTCCGGCCGTTTGAGTCTCTGGTAAGTAGGGTCCATGACCAGTTGAGTCCATGACCAGTTGAGTCCATGACCAGTTGAGTCCATGACCAGTTGAGTCCATGACCAGTTGAGTCTCTAGCCGGTTAAGTCCCTGGTCAGTTGAGTCCCGGCCGTTTGAGTGGTTGATTACCGCCGGTTGAGTCTTGGGCCGGTTGAGACTCAACTGACCAGGGACTCAACCGGCTAGGGACTCAACCGGCCGATATTTCAAGGATTGGATGAGTTGAGCGTTTTTGGGCGTGTGGATGAGTTAAGCATTAGATGAGTTGAGGATTGGATGAGTTGAGCATTTTTTGCCGTGTAGATGAGTTAAGCATTAGATGAGTTGAGGATTGGATGAGTTGAGCGTTTTTGGCCGTGTGGATGAGTTAAGTGTTAGATGAGTTAAGGATTGGATGAGTTGTAGGGTAGCCCCTCTTAATCACCATGTCCTCTTTGGTCTATCCTTTTCTATAAAATATTGAACCCCTTAATAAAAACTTGACGTAATTGTCTGCCTTCTATTTACAAAGTTTGTTAAACCTACAAATTAAAACGCTTCTTAGTCTATAAATAATTTTATTCCTCATTCTTACCGCCTTTCAAAGCTACAATTTAATCAATCATTAATTAATACATGTTGCTATTTTAGAAAAAATAAAAAAAAGATTTTATAAAGCAAAGAATGTATTTTTTATGCATTCACGTGTTAAGCCCAACAAACACTCAATATATAATATTTCTTTTATTCTCTTTTATAAAGACAATAGTGTATGAATTTCCCTTTTAAGAAATTTTTTACTGTTCATTTATATCCCCAAGATTTTTTAAGCTAATTCAATAAAAATCCAAAGATTTACCAAGTGGAAAGTGAAAGAATGTGAGAGGATAAATTTTTTTATTTCATTTGTTGTTTGTCCACAAAAATTTTCTTTTTGGAAGAAGCAATTGCTTTTATTCATTTCCCCCGTATCAATCATTCCGCTCCATTCATTCATTGACACATACTTTATCTAAACAAATAAGACCCCCAAGGGGAATTTATTTAGTAAAGCCTGTCCATATGGAATGCTCAATCTGCTACTATTTTTAGCGGCAGGCAATACCCACCATTTACCTCTTCTCTTTACCTTCATAAAAGACAATAGAAATGCCAGAAGGGATAGGTGTCAACAAAAACAAATAAATGCTCTATATCTAATTTTTTTAATGCGAATTTAATAAAATTTTTAGATTTGTGTCGATTCGGTTCGTTTTCGAGCCTTTCGAGCTGAAAAGCCTCGGCTCGCTCAATCGAGTTTCGGGTCAAGCGAGCCGGCAACTAGTGTTGCAGTTTTCGATTCGAGCCGACGTTCGGTGCATATTTTTCGAGCTGTGTTTTTTTCGATTCGGTTCGTTTTCGAGCTTTTCGAGCTGAAAAGCCTCGGGTCGTGCGAGCTGGCAACCCTAGTCATGATATCCAGACGGATATCTGAAGATTTCAAGGATCCGTCAAACTTTTCCGACTATACAAATTAATTCCTAACCTTTAATTTTCTTTCACATATTTTCTAAAAAATTGTTTTGTTTCCCAAAATTCCTGTCATTTTTCATCCCTTCTAATTTAACATAAAAAATTTTTCCATCATTTGGGGCTAATTGTCAATTATAGAAAATGGACGTAGCTAAAAAATGAACAAAAATAAAAATGAGGGAGTGTGTGTGTTTTTTATGTATTGCTTAATCGGACAAATGGCTAAATTCCCAAATTTAATCCTAACAAAAAAAGCTTTAAAAAATCTATTAAAAACGAGATTTGTTTCTAAAATAAAATTTTTATTGTGATAACGACCCAGCTGTGACCCAAAAAAGTTGGTGTAGATATTTTAATTAAATTGGGGCTTTTTTAAATTTAATTTGTGCTAATTAAATTTTTTAAATTGTCAGCTCTTAATTTAGAAATAAAAAGGAATTTTATTACACTAACATCAGATTTATTTCGATGAGAGGAGATTTATTTTATTTTGATTTTGAATTATACTGTGTTTTTTTAATTTCCGCGTTTTGCTTTATCTTAATTTTTCTTGAGAATTTTGACTTAAAAATCACGTTTCCATATGGTTATCTGATATCTCGATTCGCTACCTGAATGTGATATTGCCCATTGTTCTTCCAGGTCCAAACCGGAAAAACTGGGCAAGATCACATTCAAGAATTTTGGTTAATTTTGAAAATAAAATTTTTAGTTCAAGAGCGGTTCCATTTTTTTGTGAAATTTGAAAGGCTAATTGGTTGTGAGCAGGATTACGGGTAATATAAGCCGATTTATAGGCCTAAAGGGGATTCGATGGGATATCGGGATACACGATTAATTCCCACAAATCCACTTAATCCTCACAAATCCCTAGATACCCTACAAGAGTTTCTACACCTTTATTCCTCCCAGAAAGTTTTACATCTGTATTCCTACTTTTGTTAAAAATCCCCTCGATAGTTTGGTTATTTACCCGAATCCATTCATAATTGCGCCTAGTCCCTCTAAATTTTAAAAATAAAAATTTCGGTTCAAGAGCGGTTCCATTAGCAGCTATTATCATTTTCGCTTGTTATTCCTTATTTCATTCATTTAGTCATTCGGTTCAGGGAGCTCATGTCTAAAGTTACTCATTTTGGTCTATTTTGAAATATTATTCCTTATGTCAAATAAGACCTTTCTAAACATTTTTACTATAAGTTTTCTTTTACCTCAGCAATGTTTGTCTTCATAATTTCCTGACTTTTCCCTTCCTCCCCTCAATAACTTCCTTCCATTTTTTCTTCTTCCATCAATATCTCAACGAAATTTTTTTCTTTTTTAACATTTTTTCTAAGGTTTCCCCCCATACCCCCAATTTCCATTTAGCCTACTTTTTCTCCCCCCTCTTCCACAAATAACCTAAAACATTGCTAATTTAACTCAAAGGCTTTCTGTCCTCCTTACTCATTTTCAGTGCCAAAATTACGCTTTATTGCCTCACCCATTTTACTTAAAATACCTTTCTTTGTGTTTCTCATTGTCATTTTTCGTCACAATTATTTTTAGAAACGGAAATGGCATGTTGAATTTTTTAAATTTAATAAAGTACAAAAAAGATTGTTTGTTTTCTTTTTTAAATTTATTTCAAATAAAGTAAAAATATTCTACGTAATTTACAAGAACTACAATGACCCTCTCTAATATATAACCTTTCGTGACGGGACCGAATATAAGTAGCTTACTTTTGAAGGGAAATGAACTGATAGGAGTACGGATTTAGAGAGAACGGCAATTTCTTCGCTCCTTTTTACATTGAGCTTTATTAAACCCATTTGCCGAAAACTAGTTGGGACGCCTGAAAAAAACTCGCGAAAAGATTTTGGGTTTCGCCTACTCCGTATCATCCTTTAACGCTGAAAGTCCCCTAATTCTTTATATGGACCGTTTAAGTTCCCTAACAAATTATTTCAACTATCCCGAACTTATTAAATAAAATTCTTATATCTTATCCAAAAATTTATTAAAGCTGAGTATTATCAACGTAAATAATAATAAATTACTAGCTTACTAACCTAATTTTTCATTTAATTCCTCACCAAAAATAAATCTCTGCAATTTTAATTACTAGCTATTTTTTGTGTTTTAATCGGAAGAATTTTTTAGATTAATTTTTATTTATTCTTTTTCCGTCCCCAATTTTAATCTTTGAATTTTTTATCTCAAAATTGCTTCAAATGGAAATCTCAAATTCTTTTTCTCCTCTAAATTTAACCCAAAAACCTCAAGAAACAAGCTTTGACATTTTCGAAACTCCCCATATTTCATTTGTCACCACTTTAATAAATGGGGCAGCAGAAGCAATGAATTATTTGGATGAAAATATTACTAATGGTAACGAGAGTACTGAGGATTTCATGCAAGAAAAAATTATTAACGTAAGGAATTTTTGATTTATTTGAAAATTTTTTTTTGAAAATTTCTAAAAACAAAATTTTCTTTAGAGGTTTTGTTTAAAAAAACCAAAATTTAAATGAATTTTTAAAGGATTGTGTTTTTCTACCAACTACAGAAAATTTTCTCATGATTTTCACGTTTTCGATGATTTTCTGCCTTTCAGTTGTTGGAAATTCAATTGTCATTGTTGTTATCCTACAGGTATTATTTTTAGGGGTAATATTAATAAGTATAGCCTCTTTTAAATAATTACCCCCTCCCCCTCCAGAGAGAGGTTGAAACAAAAATTGCCCAGAGTAATTGATAAAATAAATATTCCGGGTGGAACGGGTTGGGAATAAAGTCAGGGTTTCGGGTATCGGATTTAATTATCTTCAACACCCCTGGTAATATTGATAAATTAACAAAAATAATCTTTGACTTATCGTTTTTTAAAATTAAAAATTCACAAAACTAAATCTTTTTTAATCTTTAATTTTTATTCAAGCAAAAATCTATGCATTCTGTAACAAATTTATACCTGCTAAATTTGGCCTTAAGTGACTTGCTTTTGAGCGTAGTTTGTGAGTAATATTTTATTAAAAATTTATTGAAAAAAAAATAAAAATAGATTTAAATTAATAATTAATGGCTAACTTTAATAAAATAAAAATTTAAATAATTTAATTTAAAGGTATGCCCCCGACATTAGTCAGTTCCTTAGTTTATTGCTGGGTATTTGGCGATTTACTTTGTAAACTATTGGCATATCTACAACGTAAATTTAATTTAGATTTAACTTTTAAATTTTTTTATTTATAGCGGTCGTTGTAACAGGTATATTTTAATTTTAAGGAGAAAAAATTAAAAAAATGATTAAAAAAATTTTCATGAAAAATTTAAGCTACAATGCTTAAAAATACACATTGCATCATATATTATTTATCAAATTAAGCTTCTATTTGACATAAAAATTTACTATAAAGAATTCCCTTATTTATAATTAAATTATTGAAAAAATTAATATTATGCACAAGATTTTTTTAATGCATAATATATTTTAATTGAATATTCCCAATTATAAATACCAGAGAATTTTGTAGGTTACATTTCTCTAATCAACATTTTAATAATACATTTAAGTCATAAGAGTCCGGATATTTCTATGACAGTTGATCTAAGCTGATCAAATTATTTACCAAAGCCCCATTTTTAATACATATAACGAATCTATATAAAATTCTTCTATAACAGCGTCAGCCTATACTCTAGCTGCAATAGCACTAGAACGTTATTATGCAATATGTCGTCCTCTACAATCGCGAATATGGCATACCCGTACTCACGCAAAATTTATGATTAGCCTTGTTTGGTTAGTGACTTATTTCTATATTTTGGCTATGATTTTGGCAATTATAACTAATGTACTTATTTTCTAATTTTCAGGCTAGCCTCTATCATCGTTAATTTATTTATGTTATTTATGTATGAAGAAAGAAAATTTAATACAAATGGCCTTAACTGTTCTCCAAAATTTAAACCTCTAATTCATTTCAGCTATCAGGTTTAGACTCATTCTCCACTTTAAAAATTAATTTTTAAAGATTTACATGACTGTCATGCTTCTAGTTATTCCGTTGGTTGCCATGACTGTTCTGTAAGGATTTTAATTCTTTCTGAACCAAAGTATACTCATAATTCTTAGATATGGCAGCGTTATTCGCACTCTTAGCTCAGGGATTTTAGTCGATCTTAATTCTAAAGAAGCTATCGACAGTAAGTTCTTTTACTTCTGAGACAAAAAATATTTCAAATTTTAATTAGAAACTGATAATCTCGAAAATCGGCAACAGAATCTTTCAAACAGTAAATGGTACAAGAGGCCTAGCCTAGAAGGAGGCTGCTCAAAAGGCAGCAGACTATCTCTAGTGGCAATGATAAAAAATGAATTAAAATTAGGTTTAAGAGAACCAACAATAGCTACTTCATGTTTACGTCAAAATAGATCGAGTAATGGCCAAGTTGTGGAGGTCAATCTAAGATCTACTCAAGCTGAAAAAAGTGCAATTGCTAAAAAGAGGTGATCAAGCAAAATAATTTTTAATTGATTTTTAAAAGTTTTCCCGTAGTCAGTAATACATATAATTAAGTGTGACTCTAACAGTATTATAGAAAAGTCGGGCTCTAGGTTCATCAAAACATCATTCTTTTATAGACAGAAAAACAAAACCTACCGGATTCACTATTATTTAATTTACTGCAAATCCTAATCAAATGTTTAATTTACATAATGTTAATTATTTGTATAATTCTATCTGAAATAATAGAGAATATAGGTAATTTACATAATATTAATTATTTCAATATTTTTATCCGAAATACTAGAGAATTATAAGTAATTTACATAATATTAATTATTTCAATAAATCTATCTTAATAATAGAGGAATATAAGTAATTTACTTAATATTAATTATTTCAATAACTCTATCTTAATAATAGAGAATTATAGGTAATTTACATAATATTAATTATTTGAATAAATCTACATATCTGAAAAAACGAGAATTAATTTAAATAATATTAATTATTTCAATAAATCTATTTTAATAATAGAGAATTATAGGTAATTTACATAATATTAATTATTTCAATATTTTTATCCGAAATACTAGAGAATTACTAGTAATTACATAATATTAATTATTTCAATAACTCTATCGTAATAATAGAGAATTATAGGAAATTTACCGTAGTGCGACACTTGCGGACCGACTTTTGCGGACCGACCTTTGCGGACGGACATTTGCGGATTGCGGATAGACATTTGCGGATCAGACATTTGCGGACGACATTTGCGGATTGCGGACCGACTTTTGCGGATCGGACATTTGCGGACCGTTTTTGGGAAAAAATTTAAAAAATTCAATTTAATTTTCGAAACGAAAAAAAATATTTAGATAAGTTTATTTTAATATCTTTTCGATCTAACAAGTTAGACAAAGTTATAATCGTTTATTTTAGCTCCTTACCTATTGCATCCGTGGAGCCGGGCATGACCATGTCATCGATGATATGAATAGGATTAAGTTACGAGCCCAGAACCCAGCGACCGTTGACTCCCCGCGAGGCGCGTGCCGCAAAACCCTGCGCGAAGCGCAGGGTTTTGCACAAGCGCCTCGCCTAATCTCCATAGGTTTACGTTGAGGTTTACGTTTCATCTCTTAAAAGACTACTATTTCGTTCTATCTTTAACCAGAATCCGGAAAATACTATATTCCGGAAAGTTGTAAAATCGACTTAAATATTTTAAAACTTAAAAAAATATTTTTTAAACTTAAATATTTCTTTTCGTTTTCGAAAATTAAATTGAATTTTTTAAATTTTTTTCCCCCAAAAACGGTCCGCAAATGTCCGATCCGCAAAAGTCGGTCCGCAATCCGCAAATGTCGTCCGCAAATGTCCGATCCGCAAATGTCTATCCGCAATCCGCAAATGTCCGTCCGCAAAGGTCGGTCCGCAAAAGTCGGTCCGCAAGTGTCGTACAATCAAATTTACATAATATTAATTATTTCAATATTTATATTTAAAATATTAGAGAATTATAGTTAATTTACATAATATTAATTATTTCAATATCTTTATCTTAATTATAGAGAAGTATAGGTAATTTACATAATATTAATTATTTCAATATTTTTATCGAAATATAGAGAATTATAGGTAATTTACATAATATTAATTATTTCAATATTTTTATCTGAAATACTAGAGAATTATAGGTAATATACATAATATTAATTATTTCAATAATTCTATATTAATTATAGAGGAATATAAGTAATTTACTTAATATTAATTATTTCAATAACTCTATCTTAATAATAGAGAATTATAGGTAATTTACATAATATTAATTATTTCAATATTTTTATCAGAAATACTAGAGAATTATAAGTAATTTACATAATATTAATTATTTCAATAAATCTATCTTAATAATAGAGGAATATAAGTAATTTACTTAATATTAATTATTTCAATATTTTTATCAGAAATACTAGAGAATTATAAGTAATTTACATAATATTAATTATTTCAATAAATCTATCTTAATAATAGAGAATTATAGTCAATTTACATAAGATTAATTATTTCAATATTTTTATCGAAATACTAGAGAATTATAGGTAATTTACATAATATTAATTATTTCAATATTTATATTTAAAATATTAGAGAATTATAGTTAATTTACATAATATTAATTATTTGAATAAATCTTCATATCTGAAAAAACGAGAATTAATTTAAATAATATTAATTATTTCAATAAATCTATCTTAATAATAGAGAATTATAGGTAATTTACATAATATTAATTATTTCAATATTTTTATCCGAAATACTAGAGAATTATAAGTAATTTACATAATATTAATTATTTCAATATTTTTATCCGAAATACTAGAGAATTATAAGTAATTTACATAATATTAATTATTTCAATAAATCTATCTTAATAATAGAGGAATATAAGTAATTTACTTAATATTAATTATTTCAATAACTCTATCTTAATAATAGAGAATTAAAGGTAATTTACATAATATTAATTATTTGAATAAATCTTCATATCTGAAAAAACGAGAATTAATTTAAATAATATTAATTATTTCAATAAATCTATCTTAATAATAGAGAATTATAGGTAATTTACATAATATTGATTATTTCAATAAATCTATCTTAATAATAGAGAATTATAGGCAATTTACATAATATTAATTATTTCAATATTTTTATCAGAAATACTAGAGAATTATAAGTAATTTACATAATATTAATTATTTCAATAATTCTATCTTAATAATAGAAAATTATAGGTAATTTACATAATATTAATTATTTCAATATTTTTATCAGAAATACTAGAGAATTATAAGTAATTTACATAATATTAATTATTTCAATAAATCTATCTTAATAATAGAGAATTATAGTCAATTTACATAAGATTAATTATTTCAATAATTTTATATGAAATAATAGAGAAGTGTGTGGGTTATGTTACTTTAATTGATTAACTACTTAGACTATGGAGCTATTCGAGTTTGAATAATTATAGTACTATTAGCTTATTTGAGTCACAAATTATTTTTTTAATTTAGGCTTATTCGAATGCTTATTGTGATTGTTGTACTTTTCTTTTTCTGTTGGACACCTTCTTATATTTGGTGGATATTTTTGTGTGCGCAAGATACATTTGGGGTTTATTAAGATTTATATTGGTATTTAAATCACTTCAATTTACAGACCTTTAATATTTGGAATTCTGAAGTGAATACTATAATAACAGTTCTGACTTATCTCTCATCATGTACAAATCCCATAACCTATTGTTTTTTGAACAATAAATTTCGCAATGCTCTGATACTTACATTTGGATGGAAACGTAAACTTAAATGATATAATTAGCCAGAAAAAATTTTTTAAAGGCTCGAGTGCGCGAAAGAGCAAAAGTGAGGGTCATTACAATTACACACAAAACACATCTCCTATGGAATATAGAAGGCGTTCTTATGATCCGAATGATGAAAATTAAAAATTATTTAAATTAAATTAATGTTTTAAATGTAACATAAGATGAATTATAAATATTTATTTGATTGTTTTTTGGATTTAAATTCAAACATTTTGTAAAAAATAATTAAATATTTTTGTTAGGAGAGGCTAGTCTGCCTCGGTCACAAAATAATTATAAACGGGCTATATCAAGCTTCTAAGCAGGACAGATCAATCTTGCAAAATTACTTTGATTCCATAGTTATTTCAAAATTTTTAAATATTATAGTAAATTAAAAATAATTAGCAGTAATACCATTGGACACTGATATTTTTCAATATTCTTGTATTTTAAGATTCTTCAGATAAAATTAGCACGTCATTTTAAAGACCTTTTAACAGAGATTCTAGCACCATCTTGTTAACTTAATTTCAAAAATCTGAGTTAAAATTTTTAAAAATATTTCACAATTAATAACATAATAAAAGACATTATGAAACAGCATTAAAATTTCAAATTCCCCAAAAAATACGTAATAGTGCTCAAATATGGTATTATAGACTTAAAGTAAGTTAATGAAAAAATCTTAACCGGTAATTTTTAAATACAGTTTTTAATGCTGATTCGAATGATATATTAATTATCCTTATCAGATCAGTATTCACTGATAAACGAATTTTTAAAATTTCAAATTCCCCAAAAAATACGTAATAATGCTCAAATATGGTATTATAGACTTACAGTATGTTAATGAAAAAATCTCGGCCAGTAATTTTTAAATACAGTTTTTAATGCTGATTCGAATGATATATTATTTATCCTTATCAGATTTTTCTTCACTGATTTATAAATTTTTAAAATTTCAAATTCCCCAAAAATACACAATAGTGCTCAAATATGGTATTATAGACTTACAGTAAGTTAATGAAAAAATCTTAACCGTTAATTTTTAAATACAGTTTTTAATGCTGATTCGAATGATATATTATATATCCTTATCAGATTTTTCTTCACTGATAAATGAATTTTTAAAATTTCAAATTCCCCAAAAATACATAATAGTGCTCAAATATGGTATTATAGACTTACAGTAAGTTAATGAAAAAATCTTAACCGGTAATTTTTAAATACAGTTTTTAATGCTGATTCGAATGATATATTATTTATCCTTATCAGATTTTTCTTCACTGATAAATAAATTTTTAAAATTTCAAATTCCCCAAAAATACATAATAGTGCTCAAATATGGTATTATAGACTTACAGTAAGTTAATGAAAAAATCTTAACCGGTAATTTTTAGATACAGTTTTTAATGCTGTTTCGAATGATATACTAATTATCCTTATCAGATCAGTATTCACTGATAAATAAATTTTTAAAATTTCAAATTCCCCAAAAAATACGTAATAATGCTCAAATATGGTATTATAGACTTACAGTATGTTAATGAAAAAATCTCGGCCAGTAATTTTTAAATACAGTTTTTAATGCTGATTCGAATGATATATTATTTATCCTTATCAGATTTTTCTTCACTGATAAATGAATTTTTAAAATTTCAAATTCCCCAAAAATACATAATAGTGCTCAAATATGGTATTATAGACTTACAGTATGTTAATGAAAAAATCTCGGCCAGTAATTTTTAAATACAGTTTTTAATGCTGATTCGAATGATATATTATTTATCCTTATCAGATTTTTCTTCACTGATTTATAAATTTTTAAAATTTCAAATTCCCCAAAAATACATAATAGTGCTCAAATATGGTATTATAGACTTACAGTAAGTTAATGAAAAAATCTTAACCGTTAATTTTTAAATACAGTTTTTAATTCTGATTCGAATGATATATTATATATCCTTATAAGATTTTTCTTCACTGATAAATGAATTTTTAAAATTTCAAATTCCCCAAAAAATACGTAATAGTGCTCAAATATGGTATTATAGACTTACAGTAAGTTAATGAAAAAATCTTAACCGGTAATTTTTAAATACAGTTTTTAATGCTGATTCGAATGATATATTAATTATCCTTATCAGATCAGTATTCACTGATAAACGAATTTTTAAAATTTCAAATTCCCCAAAAAATACGTAATAATGCTCAAATATGGTATTATAGACTTACAGTATGTTAATGAAAAAATCTCGGCCAGTAATTTTTAAATACAGTTTTTAATGCTGATTCGAATGATATATTATTTATCCTTATCAGATTTTTCTTCACTGATAAATGAATTTTTAAAATTTCAAATTCCCCAAAAATACATAATAGTGCTCAAATATGGTATTATAGACTTACAGTATGTTAATGAAAAAATCTCGGCCAGTAATTTTTAAATACAGTTTTTAATGCTGATTCGAATGATATATTATTTATCCTTATCAGATTTTTCTTCACTGATAAATGAATTTTTAAAATTTCAAATTCCCCAAAAATACATAATAGTGCTCAAATATGGTATTATAGACTTACAGTATGTTAATGAAAAAATCTCGGCCAGTAATTTTTAAATACAGTTTTTAATGCTGATTCGAATGATATATTATTTATCCTTATCAGATTTTTCTTCACTGATAAATGAATTTTTAAAATTTCAAATTCCCCAAAAATACATAATAGTGCTCAAATATGGTATTATAGACTTACAGTATATTCGAGTTAAAATTTTTAAAAATATTTCACAATTAATAACATAATAAAAGGAAAATTATGAAACAGCATTAAGGAAATGTTTCTTTAATTTGCACTTATCACTTGTTTATTATTGCTTCTTCACATGCAAATCCCTTTATCTTTCATATTTCCTCATTGCGCAATCTTAAAAGGATTTAACAGTCTAGCTAGACATTTTAAAAGGGCTATTTTTTATAAAAATAATTCATAAACAGTCTTGGCAAGGAAAAATCACCGGCCTCAAATGAATTGCTTTGTATTCCTCATACTACTTTTGTTACCCTTCCTCAAACTTTTTCAACAAGTTGAATTGACAAACTACTATGAAACTTTGAATGTCGACGGATCAGCAACGAAGGAGGAGATAGAAACGGCTTACTATAATTTGGTTAATGAAATGGTTAATGATAATGGTTTGGATGAGCAAAGCAAGGAGATAAAATTGAAAGATTTGAATGAGGCTTTTAATGTTTTAAGCAATAAAACAAGCAAAGCTAAATATGACTATTATTTAGGTATTCCCTATAACTTTAAAGCAATTTTTAGCCATAGAGACTGAAATAGATGGGTTCGGTTCGAAACATCCCAAAAAATTCGATCACGATAATCGGGATTTTTGTCCAAGATTTCGTCACGATCTTGTCACTATTCAGTCTCCATGCCTGCTAGTAATCATAATAATATTAATTAGGTAAAGGAAAAGCAATTGTCAAGATTAATCAAAAAACTGACAAAGCCTCAGCTTCAGCACACCGTCGTGAACTTCAAAAACATGGAGGATCAAGCAGTGGACGACAAAGACAGCCCAAATGTAAGTAAATAGTCTTGGAAATTTAGATTATTTTTTTCGATTTGAGGATTTTAGCAGGCTAATCCTTAAGAGAGCAACTTTTGAAGCAAATTTAGTAATCTCTAGGGAAAAATATAAACAAAATAATTTTATAAACTCTGGCATACTTATAACTACCCAAAATACTGGATATTGGACCTCCCAAGCAATACCCCCTATTTAAAACAACTCATCAGAAGCTCAATTGCTTCAGCTCCTTTAAACTCTAAAAAAAGCTAGGACCGACTTAAATGCCTTTTAAAAGTTTATTAATGCATTTCAGATAATACCGAAGCAAAGCCACAATTTAGTGTTATTAGAATCATTGTATATCAGGATCGAATAGTAGTACAGGACGGAAATGGAATGACATTCAATGACAATATTAAAAATATTGAAATCACTGGTGAATATGCATTATTGAACATTTATGGAAATAATTTGGAAATTAAAAATTATTTGATTGGACCAAAAATGAAGGCAGACTCTGTTAAAATTGAAATTAATGGCTTACTGAATGAGAGAATTAAAAAATATACAGCTGATTATGAATTTAATTTTGAGTTAAATGAGGGCCAAACGCCAAAAAACGAATTTTGTGAAAAATTTTCAATTGTCGGCAACTATTATATAGAGGTAAAATACAATTATGCTCAGGGATTGGACGGTTTACTCGAAAGTGATATCCATAACATGGTTCGATCTCCCCCTCACCCCATTCCGAGTGTTATGTCCGTGATTCAAATATTTTATAATATTTTCATCATTTTACTTTTTAATCTATTTTGCCCCATTTATTTGCATATTCAAATGTTTCCCTCAATCCAACTTTCAAATATTTTCCCATCCATCTTATTTAACTTTGCCCTTCACCTTTGCTCCACAAACTTTTCCTTTGTACATTTTCCTAATGTTTTTATCATCTACCGCCCATCCTAGTCCCTATAAATACTTGTTTCATTCCCCTCATTTGGAGTGCTCTTCGGAGCGCTCCCTTGACCCTAATTTAGTAAATGAAGAATAAATATAATAAATTAATTCCTCAATTATATTTGAGAGCTTAGGGTCATTGTACAATAAATATGTCTGTTTTCACAGACATAATAATGGCGCGGTCGACAGCGAACCGGGTAGAGCCCGAGAAGATAAAAAATATAAAACCGGACACGAACCGAGATAAATTTAATTAATGTCCGGGTACTCTGATATAAAATGGTGCCAAGTACCCGAGCCAGATTTAGTCTGGTATAAATTTAAAAAAATTGGAAAAACATCCGGACATAGTCCGAGTTTTAAAAAGGGGAGAAAGTGTATAAGACTAATTGTGAATGCCGGGTTAACCCCGAGAAAAATTAAATTCACAAGGATTGAAAAGCCGTTTTATACGAGATTAATAATTAGTATTCCTTCAGATTAATGTCTAATGAGCCGTCACTGTTGAGGGACGAGGAGAGACATTAGTTTTGTGATTTTAGCCCGAGTTGTGATGGGCGTAGAGAAAAGCCTGATGATAGGCGAGTAAAGCGTAAGACGCGGGTATGCGCAGCGGATATTTGGCGTAAGTCGCGAGAATGCGCAGCTGTTGAAACGTAAGACGGCCATAGCATCGTTATTGTATAAGCCTATGTTGCGCAGTATTTACCTCCAGAGAGCTATATGCCGTCCACAAGGATGATAGCTGAGAGCTGCCTTAGTGGAATCTCAAGACAGTGATAACTTCGATGACATAGAAGGAATACGACCCGTACTAATCGGAGACTTCAAAAAGTGTTTAAATTTGATAATATTAGGATTTTGAATTGGAAAATAAAATGAAGATTTAGAAATATTCCGCTCTGTGGTGTGTGAGCGAAGATAGATTAATCCGCTCTGTGGCGAGTAGCATAATTTGAAGTTAAATTGAAAATTAGTTGAGAAAAATAAAATTTTTAAATAATAGAGAATTGAATCCCGAAATTAAATTTGTGAGCCACTAGACTAAAGTGAGAGAATTTAACGTAAATCAAAGAAAGAATTTAAATTCCCGCTTCTAAGCGGAGGGCACCTAAAAAATCTGGACAACTCTCTTCTGCCGAATGACTTCACTATTGGGGATGAATTTCTTGAAGGAGGAAGGAGTGTTATGTCCGTGATTCAAATATTTTATAATATTTTCATCATTTTACTTTTTAATCTATTTTGCCCCATTTATTTGCATATTCAAATGTTTCCCTCAATCCAACTTTCAAATATTTTCCCATCCATCTTATTTAACTTTGCCCTTCACCTTTGCTCCACAAACTTTTCCTTTGTACATTTTCCTAATGTTTTTATCATCTACCGCCCATCCTAGTCCCTATAAATACTTGTTTCATTCCCCTCATTTGGAGTGCTCTTCGGAGCGCTCCCTTGACCCTAATTTAGTAAATGAAGAATAAATATAATAAATTAATTCCTCAATTATATTTGAGAGCTTAGGGTCATTGTACAATAAATATGTCTGTTTTCACAGACATAATACCGAGGAATACTTTAAAAGACCCGTTTCGACTAGCCTTCGCATCCGTGACTCTAAAAAAATTTAATAGAGTCGAAGCTCATTTTAAGAAATTTACACTCAATATACTCCTAAATATAATCCTCAATCTAAAACATCTTTTAGAATTCTTATCTACTGTGGAAGGGGAGTTGATCAAGCGAAAACCCCAATATTAACCGTCTGAGTCTCAGCCAAGCATGAATTTATAGTGAGCTTAAACTGTACCCTATTCTATTTAGGTTCATATTGAAGACATTAATCACAATGGAAGCAATCTTAAATTAATTGCGGTTAATTCATCTTCAATTATAGCTAAAATAGTAGGCCATGATAATAAAGATGTGAAGAAATTTAGCAAAACTGAGGAAGTTCAGGATTCGATTGAACCTGCCTCAAAGTGGTGTAGCTTAATGTGAAAATGAAGCAAATGGAATACGGAAAATAAAGAATTTTTAATATTATTAGAAAATGTTATGTTATTGGATACAATTTTGAATTAGCATTAGCATAATAAAATTTTTTTAATTTTAATCGTTTTGTTGCACATTTTTCTTATTTTTTACTTTACCCATCTTTTTATGTCTCAATCTTATCGTCTCAAACTCATCAATTTGAAGGAATGCGAGCCTCGTCGTTAAAGAGCTAAAGAATATATAATTCTGATAAAATAAATTCTTTTTTTATTAAAATTACATACACCATAACATTTGTCACCCGTGTCAAGATCTTTAGGATCGCTGCAACTAGATGTTATAGGGCAACAGCCTACGCCTTTGTCACATGATTTAAAATCACTAGACGGACAGCACCTTAAATTGTTTGAATACATAATCTTGCCGAATGTGTAAAAAAATTTTACTTTGTAGTCTTCTGTCCTTTGCAAGTTACATCTTTAGAACCTGATGGGCATGCGCCTTCAGTACACTTTGGTTTGTTTCCAAAGAATTTAAATGAAAAACAATCACAATTGATTAATAAATTCAATCCAACAAATAATAAGAATATTAAAGTTTTACTCTCAGAAATCTTCATTGATTTAATTAATTATTTTATTCAATTATAATATAAAAATATTAAATATAATTTGCTAAAAATAATTCTTTTTTAAATATATTTAGCCAAACGAGAGATTTTTCTGTTTGAACAGCTTTAATTTCTTTCAATTTTGTACCGGCAACTATTCTCTATACTTGGGTATATTTTATTTAAAATTTATATTTGGTAAATTTCCAAATTACGCGTAAATAAAATAAAATTTTATTTAAATTTTAATACGTGGTAATCTTTGGTTGATAAATTTAAATTGATTGATTAATTAATAAATTAAATTAATTAAATTAATAAATTTCAAGTTAAACATTTTTGAATAACTTTTGGATGGGTTGGCACAAGTCAATAATTTTTAATAATTTTTATTAATTTTTGTAACTCTTATTTCAATTTATCCAAATTTGATGTAAAAAGTATAAAACGAAGATGGGAGGAAAAATACAAATCATGGACGGGCCCTGAATGATCGAGGATGGGTAAATCGAGGAAATTGAGGAAAAATAAAAGCTAAAGCAGAAGGCGAAAGCATACAAGTCAAAACTAATCAGGTATAGCCAATCACCTTTATATTATATGTATCTCCTTATCTCCGGGAATTTGGAGAGTAAATATTTAGGTAGTAAGAGACAATTACACGATTGGCCAGTTAACTGTACTTTAAAACCAAATTATAATAAATTAACGCTCTAATGAAGACCCCATATGTAAACTAATACAAATCCCTTAATCTTTTATTCAATCGGAAAAAATTGTCAACAAATGTAGTTATTACATAAATATGTATTATCATCAAGAAAAGAATCATTCATTAATTGTTTTCATTTAGGTGTACTTTTGTAGAAGTGAACGACCTCTACCTCCTAAATTTTATGTAATAATTTAAATCTAAAACTTAAACGATGCCTTGTCTTTGCCTTTAGGTTCACAAGCGTTTTGCCCACATTTATGTGTTCCTGGACATCAACCTTTTCCTTCGCCATGTGATCCGACACAGTAAATTGGATTTTGATAAACGCAACAGCTTAAAATAAATATAAATATAATACACATGCTTTGGATTTGATCAAATTAAAAGATCTAATTTAGATATAGTACATAATCATCATTAATAGAATAGATCTAAAACTAATTATCAATCCGATATACTAATTAATCAATCCGCCATTCCGCACTCACGCCTGCACGGCATCGCCTTTGGGAACCATAACATCGCACGCCCCGTCCACGACACCAACACCATCCTGGCCCATTACAAACTTTACTATATTAATATATACTAATAGCCAACGGCTTGTGATTTGTAACAACTTTCTCCTTGACCACGACACGCCAGCTTATTATTCGAGCTACATATATTATTTGGTACTGCAATCAAATAATTCAATATAACGGCAAAAATTGCAAGAATCAAGAACGTTGATTTATTTAGAAACATTTCAGTCGATTAACAATTAAAATATAACTGAAAATTATTCCTAAATACTTATATTACCCATATTAGTATAATTGTTTAGAACACGAAATGAGACAGCTAAATAGGTAGCTTTAATAAAGTAGCTGTAATAATTTTTATTTAAGTGAATTAATTAATGCACTATTCTGTTAGCTTAAGTACCCACTCAAATAACCCTCCATTTAAGCTTTGATATTTATTATTATCATTCTAAAACACAAATATTTGTTTTTGTTAGCAGCATTAAACCACAGAATAATAATAACTCAAGATAGATTTTTATGAAAAATTATAAAAATATTTATCCAACTTTCGAATTGTCAATTTTTCTTTGATGTTTGGATATTAACTTGGCTTTAGCTAAGAATTAATACACATTATTCTTGTTATGTATGTTTTGCGTAAGTAAAAAATATTTTTACCAATTCATATCAAAAATAAAAATTAAGCCTTGATTTCTCAAAGGTCTGACTAAAATTTGCTCAACTCCAAATATTTAAAAAATCATTATTCAAAGAAATATTCTGCTTCAAATCCTCGAGATAGCTAGAGAAACGCAACTTAACAAATTCTCTAATATTTTAATTAACATTCTTCAACTAATTCATATTATTCACCTACTTAAAATTAGCTTGAGATTGGTGTATGAATAATTTTAATGAAACAATAATGTAGCAACACTAATATTAACATCATTTACATATACCAACCTATATCAGCCTATATTAAATTAGCTGCCGTACAACCTGTATTAATTACACTACCTCAACTAATTATCCCACTTCTATTAATTACCCCATCCATCGAAAGATTTAAACAATAATTACGACCACCAAATACCCTAATATACGTTTAAATTTCAAAGCTCGTATAATTACCCTATCCCGATTAACTACTCCCTTCAGCGGAAAGTCGACTCAATAATTACTCAAGGTAGCTATAAAAGTTTTACGGTATTTATAAATTTACAATCCAATATCCAAAATTCATTTCTAATATTTTAGTATTCGGTTTCAATATCAAGAAGCTACATATAATGAATTAAATATATTATAGAATTTAATAAGAATTATCATATAATATTTTACAAAGCATCCCGATAAATAATAAATTGTGTGTTTTTAAAAAGTTTAAGAATATGAAGGAACACTAGGGATAAAGAGAAAGAATCATCGATGTTTATTTTTATCATTTTATTGTTTTAGTTTTTGTATCAAGCTGACCCAGTATCACTCGGAATCAAAAGACGTCCAAATGCTTTAATCTTTCTATCACCTTTACCTTCTGGTAGTGGATCTGAATTTATAAATATTTTTATTGCTTTTTTCGTTGTTTTGTGTGCTTTAGTAGTTTTATGTGTAGTTGGTTTTGGCGTTGTAGTTGTTGGAACTGGAGTTGTCGTTGTTGGTAAAATTGTTGTTGGCATTAATGTTGAGGTTTTTGGCTCTTCTGTAGATGGATCCAGGGCTTTTAGAGTTGGAGGAGGTAGAGGCGGATCTCTTGGAGATGAAGAGGAAGAGGAGAAGGGTTCATCAGAACTAATAATTCCAAAAGCATCATAAGCATATCCTGATTTTGTTGTTCCCTGGGGTTCTAATGTAGAATCCAAATTTTCAGGTTGTTGTTCGCGCTTTTCTCTTTTCTGTTGAATAATTTAAATTTTATTTTTAAATTTATTAAGCAAATATTAAATTGAAGCAAGAAGAGCAATCTCGGGTTAAAGCCAGAGTTATCGGTTTCAAACCGAACTGAAAACCCGAGGACCTAGTTAAAACGCATACTAGGCGTGCGTTTAGGATCTGAATCCAGATCCAGGATTTTTGAAAATATCGATCTCTATTAGAGACCTGTACGTCTAGAGTGAAAATGCTTAGCAATAGGTAGTAGGTTAATTGGCAGTAACCCCTTAATTAAATAAAACTTCAAGAATTTTAAAAATAAATTTCTACCAATATCAATCCATTAATGCCCATTGCAAGATAGATTATACCCATAAAAGCTAAAACAGTTTTTGAAACCATTTTATTTATTAAATAAATTTTTAAATATTTTTATTAAAACTCAATTGCTTATAGAAGCTTGCTTAATTTTTAAATGTTGGAAAATAATTAAATGATTTAACTGGTAATAATTTGACTGAATTAAAGCTTTGGCCAAAATTTTCTTTTTCATGTGTATTTTGTTTATTCAGTTAGTTTCATGGCAAAATTTGGCAAAATAATTTTTATTAGAAAGCATTTAATATGCCTAAAATAAAATTTCTATTAACGTTCCTCTCAATTTTCTATCAGGATTGACGTAAATGGATGGCGGATTTTTATTTTTTATTTTTTAAATTTGTTGGATGGAAAATTTAAAAGATTTTTTTAGAATTATATGCTTGCTGTGTAAATCTAAAATCTAACTCCGCTAATATACTAACGTCATTGCTCACGAGGATATCATCAGCAGAGGGAATGATAGTCATTATTGTAAAGGTGGGGTTCTTTTCTATAACCATTTGAAATTTTGAAGCAAGACCTGAAAATTTAATAAAGAAATCCACGAGTTTTTGAGATCCTGCGGTTTAGTATCGGGGCACAGTTCAATGTAAGGATGATTCACCTAGAGTAGTTAAAACGCTTAGGCGGGGGTTAAACGATCTAAAAAGGAAAAAGAGAGGAAAAAACCGAAGCGGAGCCTAACCGCTCGTAACATATTAATTTAATTCGCCTATTAAATCTAGCAGTACTTATGCCGTTTCCCCACCCCAGTCCGATTTTTCCTGTTGTAAGAAATAATCAGTCATTTCTTCCTGCATAATTTTAAAAAATTTCTCTGTATTCACATTCATTCAGTCACTTTTCCTTCAATTCAGACTTTTTTTTGTTATTGATTGCCTGTCTCAGACATTTGCCTTTGTTATTGATAAATGACTGAATAATCGATTTTTATTTTTTATATTTACAGATGGTTTAAATAAAAAAGTAAAATTTTTGAAGGAAGAGTGACTGAATGAATGTTACTACATGGACAGACCATTTTATACAAAAAGAAAAAATTATTTACTCTTTTTTACAAAAAGAGTGAATAAGTTTACTCTTTTTTACAAAAAGAGTGAATAAGTACCATAGTCGTTTTACATTTCAAAATGTAACTTTCCATTAAATCGATTTTTTGTCTTTTAATTAGCATTTTTCTTTTGTTACTTTTAATATTATTTTTCAGATCAATAAATACTATGCAAGGATGAAATGACAGACCTTTTGATAAAAAAAGGTTTTAACTATGCCCGATGTGTCACAGAACAAGGGCGATAAAAAATTTAATCCATTAAATGGAAGACATTATTCTCCACGATTTTTTGAACTTTTGAAAAAATGATTACGTTGCGAGTATAAGGGAGAATTTCTTATACTTCTCAACAAAAATCATTGTTTGGTACTTGTTGGTGAATTTGGTACTTGTTGTTGTTTGGTACTTGTTTGGTTGCTGTAAGGAAAACTGCAGGAGAAATTTAGTAGAAAAGTACGCATTTCACAAATTCATTTACTTTTATTTGCATAGGTTCTCATATTCCCAGAAAATTTTTTAGGAATAGGGACTCTACTCAGCCAGAGTTATCGGACCCTATGTTCTAGAATGCAGAGCTTGGTACTTATGCCATAAACCGTCTGGAGCAATCAGTAAGTTTTTCGAATTTAAAATTTTTGGCTTTTCTGGAGCGTAGTATAAGAACGTGGTTGCTGTTTAGGTTTGTCGATCCTGGGTTTTCTAAACAAAAAGTATATGATCCAAAAATTCGTGTTGAGGTTTGAAAATAAAAAAATTATTAATTAATAAATATTTTAGAGCCTTATGATTTGTCCAATTTCTCGAGCTTCAGCAAACCAAAGAGCTGGAAGAGCAGGAAGAACAAGACCAGGAAAATGTTTTCGTTTATATAGCGAAAAGGCTTATGTAACTGATTTGCAAAAACAAACGTGTCTTGAAGTTGTTTTTTAAATTTTTTGTTTAAATTATTAAAAAAAGATTTTTTGTTCTGATTTAGCTTCTGTTGTTTTGCGTTTGAAAAAATTGGGAATAGATGATATACATCCCTCTTCCACTATTAACCATAAACCAGTGGTAAGGAAAAATGGTTTCCACTGAAATTTTAGTTTTTAAAAAAATTTAGATAAAGATTGCCCCTAAGTATTATGATGTTAATTCATTCCCGGAAGGAAGTGATGCTAAAATAGGATTAAAGATGCATCTAGACAGTAAAGTTGCCTAGGCTGTAAAATGAGAATTTGTGTAAAAATGCTGAGAGTCTCAGCCCTGGTAATTGGTTATATGCCGACATCCTTGATGTCGTACTATATAAATTATGCGTTGGCTATCCAACCTTCTACATCAATCACTTAGAAATTCTAAGCTTCAACAGAAATGAAGAAATTCCTGGATCATTAAAAATTACCGTTAACGATTCGATACGATGATGACTGTAATGCTATTAAATGACAACAATTTTATTTTGTTGATGGCAGATATAAATAGCCGCCAAACTTCTTAATGTTTACCATGCTTTTAAACAAAGTATTTAAATTATTTTTTAATAAAAATTTATTATAGAAAAAAATTTCTTTTAGATCGTGAATCTTCAGAATTGTTGCTTTAACAACTTTATCAGCTACCGATCATTAAAAAATGCTGAGAGTCTCAGCCCTGGTAATTGGTTATATGCCGACATCTTTGATGTCGTAATCAATCTTCAGAATGGTGCTTTAACAACTTTATCAGCTACCGAATGCTATTAATATATAAATTATGTGTTGGCTATCCAACCTTCTGTGGCTATCCAACCTTCATCACTTAGAAATTCTAAGCTTCAACAGAAATGAAGAAATTCCTGGATCATTAAAAATTACCGTTAACGAAGTCGATACGATGATGACTGTAATGCTATTAAATGACAACAATTTTATTTTGTTGGAGGTAATTTTATTTTATTTTGCTGATTTTAAATCGAGAGATTACTACGTAAATATGAGAAAAGCAATTGTTGCAGGATTTTTTATGCAGGTTCTTTATTATATCTTTTTCAAATAATCCGTAAAAAAATTTTGCCCATTTGTAGAGAATTGGCCATTATATAACTGTAAAAGATAATCAAACAGTTAATATACATCCCTCTTCCACTATTAACCATAAACCAGTGGTAAGGAAAAATGGTTTCCACTGAAATTTTAGTTTTTAAAAAAATTTAGATAAAGATTGCACCTAAGTATTATGATGTTAATTCATTCCCGGAAGGAAGTGATGCTGAAATAGGATTAAAGATGCATCTAGACAGTAAAGTTTAAAAAAATCAATTATGGGCTTGTTAATAAACTGAATGTGGAATATAATTGATCATTATTTTAAAGAACAAGAAAATATCAAATTAAACTAATTTATGAGTTTTCCTATTTAATGTTTCTTTTTAATATAATAAATTTTATATATACTATTTGTACTTTTTTATTTATATATTAAAATTAAGAATATACAATATTTTTTGTTTTTAAATTAAATTTTTTATGTTTTCCCTCAATTTTAGTTAATAATTAAGGTATATTTTATTCAGCATAAGAAAATGATGATTTTAAAATGCGTCTAGTGATGCTACTAACCTATCGGGTTGTTTGCCTAGTTGTGGATTAAACTTGTCGACTTTATTAATTAATACAAATTAAATTCACTTTATAATTTTTTCATCATTTTCAGACATTTTCAACGATGAAAAGGAGTGTTTGACTATTGTACGCTACTTATTATGTCACTTATGGTGAATTTATAAGATAATACTACGTTAAATGTAATAATTCATTTTAAAATTACAAAAAATTTTTTACTGTATTTATTTATTTCACCGACAAGATTTACACAATTGTTGCAAATTTGAAAAATATTTAAAGCAACAAAAGGAGATATAAGGGTCGGTAAGTGGTACGGCTATTAAGCGCGTTAATAAAATTAATACACGCTTTTTAGTGCATTGTTTGCCGTTTTAATGATTTTAGGATACATTTTGTATATATGGGCACAATTCCACGATTGAATTAATTGACTGGCAGATACACAATAAAAAAGGTTTTAGGGCTTAATTATAACAGGACTTTTTAAAAAATTTTTTCATGTCTAAAAATTGGTAAACAATTTGGTCCCTAAAGTGGTGGTACTCAGAAAAGTCCTGTTAATTAAAATTTAAAAGATGATGATTGATCAATTGGTTTCGGTTCTGGGCCAATAAAACAATTGTTCAGTTTGCAGCAATTCCCATATACGTGGAAATGTTTGTGTGGTGTGGTAAAAAGAAGAAAACAAAAAATGAAAATTTTTTTTAATTTTAAAGCAAAATGAGTTCTTAAAAATATTCTTGAAAAAATTTTAAAAGTTTCCTCAAACGCCTATATTTTGCTTTAAAATGATAAAAACAATGATCAAAAATAAAAAATGACCAGAAAAAGGTTGAATTAGGTTACTACGAAGCACGTCAAAAATTAATTTAAAGAGCATTTCTACTAAAGCTAAAATTATGAGACATAAAATAAACAATAATTACAGATTAAAAAATTTTTTTTAAATATTTCTTTGAGAAAAGGCACTGATTTGATTGTTTCGCGGATCAGTAGCAAAAAAATAATAAAACTAAAACATGAATTAAATAACCTTTCCTTACATTTTTGCTACTGATTTATGTGGTAAATATTTATTGAAAGGCATTCAAAAACAAATGCTTTGCTGGTCGGTCGACTAATGCTTGAGCTTCTGTCCTCCATTTAAATCGAAATTCAAAGCTTATTGTTCATCCTCGAGAACATAAACCTTTGGCGAGTTACTCTTGTTGGTTACGACGCTGCTGCGATGCTTGGCACGGATTAGATGAAGACTATAATTTTTATTATTTGAAGGAAGGATTTAGTCCTATTTAACCTGCTTTCAGCCTGATCAGCACGTCCTTCAGCGTCTTCCAACTCACGCTGATACCGCCGCACACGTTGTAGATTTTGCATGGTTACTGCCTCCTATAGCGAAATTTTTAACGAGAAAACTGATAAAATTTACCGCTTCTCCAAGCTGACGTTTTTGTATGTTCAACTTTTCACAGAGACGATCAGCAGTATCTTGTGCCATAATGAAGTTTTTGTGTTCCTCGTCGATCTGCATTTGCATCTCCCTTAATTTAAAAAGATACTCGAGGCGATATTCCTGTCTTACTTGATACGGCGATCCTTTTTCCTCAAAGCATTTTGAGTTTCCTTGTGGCGGCGCGTTTCCTCGTCTAAGGCAGTTTCAAGGTCACGAATACGAGTTTCCAACTTGGCAATTACCCTCTTGCCTCCCTAGAATGAGCATATGATTAATGTTTGGAGAATGAAATTAGTTTCAATACCAAAAGCGCAGCAGCTTCTGCTTCCTGGATTTGGACTTGCAACTGTTTAACTTGCTCCTCGAGGGATTTACGAAGGGCATCAATTTTCATTGAGTGCTCCTGCTCCTCATGCAATTGCTCAACAGCGCGGGCAGCATCCGCCAATGCGCGATTGGCTCTGAAAGCAAAAATTGGTAATTACTTTTCGAGAAAAGCTGGAATTTTTAGAATGTTTTCAACCTCTCGTCCGCAGCGTGCAACTAAAAATTTTAGAATTAAAGTTATTATACATTTATTATAAAAATTCACCTCCTTGGTAGCCTCATCCAAGTCAGCTTGAGCAGTTGAAAGTTCGGTCTCAAGCTTGTTCTTGATCGCAGTCAAATTATTGTTAATGGACTGGAGGTCGTTGATACTATAATGTGATAATTTATAAAAATATCAACAATCTCAAATTAAATTTCACCGTCCATGGGCTTCTTCAAGATCCATTTCTGCTTGTTTGCGTGCGCGAACTGCGTTGTCGAGTGCCGTCTTGCACTCTTCCAATTCAGCAGCTAGCGCAGAAACTTTACGTTGAGCAAGAGCATACTGTAATTAATGAATTTAAATCAGGTATTAAAAGATGCCTGATCAAGAGTTTGTTGCAACTGGCGTTGAGTGTCTTCAAGGCTGGCCTGGAGTACTTTAAGTTGTTCACTCTGCTTCTTGATGGTCTTCTGTGCCTCAATATTGGCACGGTTGAGGTTATCTAAATATTTTCAATAAATTAATCATGAAGGCTATGTACACCCCCCACTTAAGCCCCTTCACTTTACCAATTGTCATTTCCAATTCAGCAATTTCAGCCTGATATTTCTTCTTGAGCCGTGAAATTTCTGCGCGCATACGTGCTTCAGCATCGGCCAAAGCTGCTGTTAATCTATCAATCTCAAATTGCATATTCTTTCGGAGATTTTCAAGTTCCTCTTCCTTTTCTTGTAGGCGACGTTCCATTTCAATTCGCAATGCCTGGAGTTCAGCCAATGCGCGGTGAGCACGATTTTCAGCATCGCGTCTGGCAGCGTCTGCTTCTTTAAGAGCGGTTTGGAGTTCACGGATTTCTCCAGCCAGACGAGCATTCTCGAGGTCAAGTTCATGAAGCTTACGGTTAGCATCAGCCAATGCTTCCTTTGCCTCATGCAAGTCATCTAAAAAATTTGACTGTAATTATAATTTACTTAATATTAACCTTGTAATTTCTTATTCTCTCGTGCGAGTGCTTCTTTTTGTTCGACAGCTTTCTCATAAAGATGCTTCATCTTTTGCAATTCGGCAAGAGCACCGCGCAACTCGCGTTGACTAAATAATTTTAATAAATCGAGCATAATTTTTTATTGTTTTTACGTGTTCTCGAGCTCAACAGTCAACTCATCAATACGTTGTTTCAATTCGGCAACAGTACGCTCAAGTTGTTCCTGAAATGGGAATATACTTCCGTCTAGAAATATACAAACTTTAGCACGTTCCAAAATGGCAATGGTATTTTGCGCCTTCTCCAAGTCTACAATGAGTACTTCAACCTCCGACTGTAAACGAGATTTTGCCTTCTCTAACTGAGAGATCTTTTGGAGAGAAATCTCGATCTGTTCCTCATATTCAGCCTGTTTCTGCATCATTTTCTTGCGCAAATCCTCGACCTATTATTTAATTGATAATTTAAACTGAGGATTAATTTTTCCTCAAGGAGTGTTTAGCCAAGGAGACTTGGCTTCCAAAAAATTAAACCGCAAATTTCGAATAGACAACAGTTAAATTACAAACTGATTAAATAATTAACTGTATAATTAATAATAATTATTGAGTAAACCCAAGGTTTAATAGAATAATTTAAAAACCTCTTCATGGTGCAATGCAACTTCTGCATCAAATTTGCTCTTCCATTGTGAGATTTCCGTGTTTGCGAGGGATAATTTGTGTTCTGCCTCCTTTATTAATAAAACAAATTATTTCTTGCTTCCTAGGCTTATTAACAAACCGAACGAGCAGCCGATTCCTCATCCAAAGCAGTGCGAACAGCATCAAGTTCGAGTTGAACTTGGTGAAGTTGTGCTTGCATTTGGGAGCGTTCCTAATTTTCAATTGAAAATATTAACCAAAAAATTATATTTAAATCACTCGTTCAGCATCCTCCAAACGACGACGGGCTTCTTCGAGTTGTTGAGCGAGTTGGTATTTGACATGTTGAAGGTTATCGAGTTGTACTTTCTGGTCATGAACTTCCTTAAGCAAGTCTTGAATAAAAAATACTAAATATTTTCACTAAATCCATTAATATAAACCGTTATTCTCGGCTTGGAGTCGTTGACGTTGTTGGGCCAAATCATTAACGTGCTTGTTAAGGTCCTCGACTTTGTTGGCCAAATCAATGGCTTGGGCTTCGAAGCGTTCGGCTGCCTTCTCAGCAGCATGCTACATAAATTTTAGAGGAATATTTTAAGGGAATACATACGCTTAGAAATTATATGATTATTACAAAAGTTTACCTTTTCCTTCTGGACTTGGTCGATGGTAGCAGTCAACTCGATCACTTCATGCTGCAAGCGTTGACGCTCACGGTCAATCCTTTATTAATAATTTCAGTTTTAACCCTAATAAAATTAAAGCAAACTTTGCATTCTTTTTTTGTAATCCTTCAATCTGTTCGTTGTAATCGAGGCAAGCGTCCTAAAAATTTTAAATAAAATTTTTAAATAATTTAAATAATTTTTAATAATATTTTTGGTTTCTTTCAAATAATATTTAAAAAATTAAATTACGTTATGTTTCTTGCGAAGAACATTTAGGGCATCCTCAGCCTCCAATTGAGACTCTTCGAGCAATTTGCGCAACTTTTGAAGTTCAGCTTCGCGTTTGCGGTTTGCCTCAATCTGAGCGTCAGTCGTTCCTTCGGCATCCTCTAAAATTCACAGATTAAATGATCATTTATTTTGATCATCAAACAAACCAAGTCGGTCAGTTAAAGCAATAAGCTGTACGCTAAGATCGGCGCGTTCACGCTCGATCTATAATATGGAAAATTTAGGTAGAAAATGTTTAAGAGTTTTTGTAACTTACGCGATTTCGGAGTTCACGTTCAGATTCGAGGTCTTCTTGAAGGAGTCTAATCTTGTCCTCAAGGCGAGTGAGGCTTCCCAAATCAGCAACAGACATTGCACCAAAAGGTGCTCCGCCAGCAAAAGCGCTCATTGAAGGCGACTTGTATAATGCACCTCCATGCGCCATACTTGGACTACGATACAAGGAGTTTGACATATTCTACAAACTTTGTTGTTTTTGTGTTTTTGATTTTTTGAAGTTAACGAATACAGTGTGTTAAGAAATTATAACCCCCCTTGGATTTTTTGTGTTTCTCTATCTTCCCGTTGTTGGATTGTTCTGAAATTTTTGCAGTAGTGTTGTAATGTATATTAAATGATATTTACAAAATATCTTTAAAAATTTCTGATCTAAAACTTTTTTATGGACGTTTTCCCTAAAAATTAGTGTTAATAAATTATAACCCTCCTTTATTAAAATTTTTGTTTTACGGTCAAAAAATCCACAAAAATTTTTCTGAACATATCTACCAATATAAATGAGAAATACAAAAGAAATGAAGTTCTTATGTACTCCCATCATCAAGATCTCGAAATCCGAAAATCAACGTAAAACGGGGGTAAAGGTCTTTAAAAAACATTTTCGACACCTTACAGGTGAAATAAAAATTTTATTTTGGGCTTATCTGAAAGCCCTTAAAATTTGCTGCAAGATACTTTTCATCTTATAATCAAGAAAAAATTCATCATTGAAAAATAATGAGTTTATTTTATGAGTTACATTTTTGTCACTTTTTGGGGGCGTTGAAGTGATTTTTATGACTTGAAAGTTTATCACTTTGTCTCTCGACGGTGAATTTTTTTTGTATAATGAGATAAAAACTATCTTATAGCAAATTTAAAGGGCTTTCAGAAAAGTATGAAATAAAAATTTAACTTACCCTATAAGAGGTCGAAAATATTTTTTAAAGACCTTTACCCCCGTTTCACATTGATTTTCGGATTTCGAGATCTTGATGATGGGAGTACATAAGAACTTCATTTCTTTTGTATTTCTCATTTATATTGGTAGATATGTTCAGAAAAATTTTTGTGGATTTTTTGACCGTAAAACAAAAATTTTAATAAAGGGGGGTTATAATTTATTAACACTAATTTTTAGGGAAAACGTCCATAAAAAAGTTTTAGATCAGAAATTTTTAAAGATATTTTGTAAATATCATTTAATATACATTACAACACTACTGCAAAAATTTCAGAACAATCCAACAACGGGAAGATAGAGAAACACAAAAAATCCAAGGGGGGTTATAATTTCTTAACACACTGTACTAATTATTTTTTAAGCGACCGCCAGCTATGTTTGAGGAATCTGTCAATAAGGGAATAGATTAATATAATTCATGGTTTCTAATTAATCCAAGCATAATACATATAACGGAATAAAATTTATAAACTATTATACTGCCTATTTGTCCCATCTATCCCCGGGAGGAGCTACTGATAATTTTAAAAATATAGTTATTATCAATCGGAAGTCTAAACAAAGGATATTTTATATAATTTCTCGCAACTATTTGGATCAGATAAAATAAACAATTTGAAGATTATTGTTGCTAGAATTATATAATCTAGATCAGTAAATATTAAAAGAATTAAAATAGTATTAAATCGGGTTTTCTAACATTTGCTTTTCGTTTCGAATAAATAAATGATCTGAAAGACAACAATTGTTACGGCATATCCAAGAATTCTCCGGAAGGCAAAATACTAAAATAAATGAGGCTAAAGATAAAAAGCAGCATAAACGCAGCTGTCATAAGGATAATGGGATTGACTGTAAGCTAAGAAATATTTAGCTAGTTAAGCTTTCTATAAATTATTTAGGAACTTTACTGATCAAGTTTAACAAAAGGAATTCTTTTTTTCCCTATAACACATGTGTTTTCCCGCCTGATAAACAACAATAAAATGCTTAAATCGAATGCTTCCATTACTAAATGGCCAAGGAATGTATAGCTGTAAGACGAAGAAAAATAAAAATAAATAAAAATTGAGAGAATGAGAAGCTTACTAAGCGGGGGCGTTGTATTTCTTAGCAAATGTGTAAGCAAACATAAATTGTCTGCCTTGTATAAATGTGTTTTTTATAAAATTACGGCTTGATCTTTATCTCTGTTTCTCTTACTTATTTTATTAGCTTTAAGAGAGCCTTGGATTTATAATTAGTTGAGGGATAAAGCTTTGTTTATTATACAATTCTCGATATCTGGGGTCGATTGTTACAATAGATTAATTACAGAAAAATCTGCAAGTTTTAAGGTAATGCTTTCGAAAATTTAGAATGTTGATTTTGAGAAGTATAGGGAATTTACTTAGGGAATTTATATATTAGTGAATTTATTATTTAGATTTATTAACTTCAAATTTGTTAATGCTTGGGGAATTTACGGAGCATTAGATATATGGTTGCCGTTTCCGAGTAGGGTACGAGTCAAAAGTAGGGCCGACGGTCGGGCCAGTTAGATGTTAGATGTAGAATGAGAAGAGATACAGTCTGGAAATAATCCTGAGAGATACATCTCAAACTTTCTCAAAAATTCATTTACTTACGATTTATTGACTTAAAATTTTACTAATTTTCGGAAATATTTGCACTCTTAATATTAACGTTTATCCTAGCGCTTTTTCTCGCCAATCTTCTAAAAAACTTTTTTTTTCTGGTTCCGGCTTTTTTCACTCTCTTCCAACATTAGTCAACTTAACAAACATTCCACCAACTTTCCAAGTGTTTTATGTAAGCAGTTGTTTTAAAAAGGCCGGAAAAAGTGGCTGGATGATGAAATGCTGGGAAGGCTGTAAAGGATTAAGACCGGAAAAGATCACTTTTTTAAAAAATCAAGAGAATGTGTAAATCTTTATTTGAGAGGCTGAAAATAGTAATAAATGAAGTTTTATGGAGGTGGATTTATTTATGAATGGAATGAAAAATAGGGATCAAAATTAAAAAGACTATTATAAAATAAATAAATAATCAAATTAATAATTAATTTATTCAATAAATTAATTATCCTATTTGGTACTGATCAATGGCAGGAAACGGATTAACGTATATAATTGATCTGAACACCTAGATAGGAATAATTAAACAATGCGGCAGCAGTGATTGGTCAGAACAGTCAAAGGTGTCGGCAATCGGAACTGGCTCAAAACTCGGAACACGGAAATTGGAAATCAGAATGTGACTGCCTCTGTGCGGCACTCACAATTTATTCATGTATTCTTTTGTTTCTATTAGAGCGGTACTTTTTAATCAAACATAACTCTTGAATAAAGCAGCTCCCTTTGTGCGCATTGATCAACTATTTGATTAACTAAAAATAATTAAAAATATAATATAGATTTATTTTCTATTTTTACTTTTCCATTTTTTATTTTTCTATTTTTGTTTTCACTTAATATTTTATTATATTATTTGCCAAATTTTTATTATAAATATTATTATATTTGCTTATCTGTTTTTATAATAATAATTTTAAGTATTCCATAATATCAACCTCAATATACTGGATTTTACCAGTATTGACCCTTGTTGACGAACTTCTATTTTATTTTTACTCCTCTTTGGTACAAATTTTAAATAAATAATTTTAGAAATTTATATTTTGGCAATATTTCAATTAATGAATTAATTTAAAAAAAGTTTTGCTGGCAATTGTTTATTCAAAATTATGTGGCAAACATTAAAGCGATAAACTATGAAAATTGAACCTTCACGTGTACAGGAAGCGTTTTAATACGTGGAAAACGAGTTAAATTTATTAAATACCTTAGAATTAAAATCATTTTATGGGTATACTAAAATTCCAATAAATCCAAAAATAATTAAAAATGCTTTCTTACCCAAAATTTATTTTTATCTTTTATCTTTCTGCTACAATAGTTCTAGCCGCTGTCCCTCCTTACGGGCGTCTTTCAGTAAATAATGGAAAATTAGTTGGTTCTGATGGAAACCCTGCTCCGGCTAGTTTTTTAAAAATTTTATGTTGTTAAAAATTCTATTTTAGTTACGCGGTGGTTCTTTATGGTTCAGTCAATGGTTAACTGAATTTTATAGTCCTAATGTAGTGCGAGCAGTAAAATGTACATTTAACTCCAACGTTGTAATAAATTATCACTTAAATTATTTTTGACAATTTCAAAAATTTTTTTAAAGATTCGTGCAGCTATAGGACCCGAAGCTAATGGATATTTTGACAATCTTGATCAAGCTGTAAATGCAGCAACTGTAATAGGAAATGCCGCAATAGATGTACTTGAATAAATTTTTAATTATTTTATTTTTATTAAGAATGGAATTTATTTTGTGGTTGATCTTCACTACGGCTTTCAAAATTGCGATAAACAAGATGAATTTGAAGGATTTACCAATAAAGCAATAGAATTTTTCACAAGAATTTTGGGTAAATTCAAGGGAAGTCCTAACTTGTTATTAGAGCTATGGAATGAACCTCAATGCACTTGGGATAAAATAAGTGAATATCACTCGAAAGTTCTTAAGGTAACGGATTTTATTTTTTAATTAAATTTGATGAAAAATCAAAATCCATATAGGCAATTAGAAATATTGATTCAAATGTTGTATGTATCCTTGGAACACCTAACGCTTCATCTGGTCCAAGTTCTGAAGTTGTGAGCAACCCTCTTCGTGTCAGTAACACGCTGTATGGTTCTTTTAAATACATATGTATAAGCTTAATTTTCCAGTTATACAATGCATTGGTATGCAGTTAAAGATCAAGCTCATATTAATAGTCAATATCACCTTATTGATAATGCAATTAAAAATAATATTGGAGTTTTTGTTTCTGAATATGGTGATGCTGATGTTACCCCAGGGGCTACAGTGAATATAGCTGCGACAACAAAAATGTTTGTTAAATTTTAAAAATAGTGTTGTCGAACTCAGCAGATTCCTTGCATAACTGAAACCGAACCGAAAACCTTCGGCTTTTGATTTGGTCTTTGGCTTTTCGACCCTATTTTAATATTGACAAATAACTAAATGATTTTATAAATATGTATTATTTTTCCAGTCTACACTTTTTGGATGTACGGAAAATTTCCTATATGAAATGGTCATTTTGCAATAGGGATGAAGTTTGGTCAGTAATTAAACCTGAATGTGGAGCAGGTCAAATCAATCAACCCGAGTGTTTGAGCCCTTCAGGACAAGCCTTTCTTAAAAGGTTCAAAAATCTGAAAAATGGTAGGCTTAAATCATTTTTTTGTAAAATTTGCCTTTCCTCAAAATTTTATGAAAGCATTTATTTAATTAATTTCAGGAGTATCGTGCTAAATATGTATTTCATATCAATTGAGAATTTTCTAAAATATAAATAATGCTTTTGAATGATAAAAATAATAAAATATAGTATTTATAAAAATGAGTAAACTTAGGTAGATTAAAAAAATTAAACTTATATGTAATAATCAGCATAGAATATTTTCAAAAGTTTACTTCAAGAAATTATTTAACATACATACTATCAATTAAAAATAACACAAATTCAAAAATAAATTTTCTAGAGCTACTATCTCTCATAATATTTTTTCATCATTGATTCTTTTTCCAGAATTTGATTTTGCTAATGACACGAGTATACCACTTCAATGGCATATTCTGAAAAATTAAATTATATATGAGATTAAGGCCTTCGATTGTATTTTAAGTCCCCAAATACTTCTTTCTATTTTCTTAGACTCCGATGTTTCATTGTATTTTTTTCAAAAATTATCACCTACTCTGTTCAGTAATATACATTTCCCGATGTTTTTTTCTTAATTCTATATGGCTAAAAACTACCTTTTCATGTTCAGAAACCGTAACTGGAAAATCATCACCATTGACTGACTCGTTGTCTTGAATCTCCGCTTGCAAAGGCGTCGGAATGTCGCTATTGCTAACTCCATTGTCTACATGTATCTCGGGTTCAATTTCATGTATTTCAGCTTCCTTGCTAATTTCACCTTCCTGATGAATTGAATGAATCGAATTTTCCAAGATTGGCTGATTAAACATTTTCTAAAATGTAAAATCTTCATTTTATTCTATATAATAGACTTATTACGATTTACCATAAACCGATTCGGATAAAGTGTAATTTGTTCAAAACCTACCTCTTTTCCATGATCATTATCATCAAAGTCTGTTTTTTAGCTCAGATTAATTATATATTCATTAAATTCAACCTTTTTTCTTGTCTTCAATCTCCGAAGATGCATTCTGGCCAATTTCAAAATTAGATTTAATTTCCTCGTTTGTAATTCTAATTGAGGATGATGCTTCTGCGTCCTTCTCCTATCAAAATAATATTTTAATTCATATTAATCCTTACCATTTTCGTAAATTCATCGTTTATTATAGTCTCACTCAACCTTCCAATATCTCCAAAACTAATTATATCGATAAAAGGACTTAAATATTTCTGTATAAGTTTGTCTACTACTGCTTGAAATATTTCAATTTTATCATGAAACATTTTATCGTCTTCAGAGATTTTCACTTTTTGTATTATCAGTTCATCTTTAAAATCATTCAACTTCTTTTTAAAATCTACAATTTCTTTTCCAATAAACTCGATCATTTTCTTCGTTCTTTTAAATATATCAACCTCCTTTTTATGTTCAAGTTTTCTATATCCGTTAGCTTCTTTCAATATGTTTTCCTTTTCTTCTTCACTAACCAAATTTGTTCTTAACTCGCTAAAAAGACCTCGAAAATTCAGGTCCGATAAATTTACATTATACAAATATTTTTCGATCAAACTTCTAATTAAGTCTCCAAGTTCTGCTTCTTTATTTGGTGTTACCACCTCCTCTCTTAAATCGAGTTCTTCGCTATCCTCTACCGGAATTTCAGGAAAATTTCCATTGTATTTTTTCAATATTGTATTGATCAATTCTAGCAGCAATTTATATATCCGGGAGTATTTTGCTAGAAACAAAGTGTTACATTGTTAGGAGCATTTAAAACGCTTAGGCAGGGAGGGTTAACGATTTAAAAAGGAAAAATAGAAAGCATTAGTCGATGCCCCGGGAGCTCAGTGGTCGTGTTCCTGTATATGGTGAGCGAAAGCGTCTAGCAATAACTGTCAGGAGGTTTATCAGAAAATTTCCTAAACTATCAGAAAATTACATAAACCTATTTTCTTACCATCATCTTTCAATTCCAAAGTTTCCAATTCGCTCAACAATTTATGCTCCTTTTCAGTTACAGTATAGCAGTTTTTGCTTTCATCTTGAATTTGACTCAAAATTTGCTTGTAAGCCATAAGAAAATTATTAACTCCATAGAAACGATTTTCAAACATTTTCAAATCTTTTTCTAACTCATCTTTTTTATAAAGCTCCATAATTTTGCCCATATCCTTATCAATATGGAGGAATAAAAATTTGATAACTCCTTAAAATGAAGGATTTAGATCCTGATATTATTCTTAACTTACCAGTAATATTTCCTTTTTTATGTACTGCTTGAAGTTCTTTTTGTAACCAATAAGAATATTCATGTTCCCCCTCCATAAGCATAGCAATTTCCATTATCTCCCTCAATTTTTTAAAATAACCCTGCTTAGTTAACATTATTTTTAGCCGTGCATCTTGATTTGCTCTAAATTTTAAAGCATAAGATAAATATTTAAGTGAATTGTTACGTCATTTCTTCACCATCATTTGAGCGCAGAGTAGAGTTCAATCCTTTATATGTTCGTCCTTCATTCTCCAATTTCAAATTTATCAGATTTTTCAAACATTTTTGCGTTTTAGTATCCGTTTCGCGCAATTTTTGTCCAAATTCAACCGCATAAGCTGATTTAAATTCAAAAAGTATCAGAAGATTCTCAATAATTGTAATCAATCTATCGAAATTTTCTTCATTGAGAACTGGTTGTTTAGTCAAATCGCATACTGTTTTGAAATACTGGAAATTTATGAAAGTTTATTAATTTAGATAAGATTTCCGGAAGTTCCGGCCAACCGGATCCGGAACTTCCGGTGAATCACTATCATACGCTATAATAATCATCATTTAGAAGACGTCTGCCACTGAATGCATCAATCCTCTTCAAAAGTAAATCATAGACTTGTTTCATGCTATCATCCACTTTCATCTTTTTTAGGTTAATATGGTTTAATAAAATTTTGGTTGAGTTACTCATAATCTCCTCGTATTTCTTCAGTTCAGTTTCCTTTTTAGACTTTTTGTTCAAATACAAATTTTTAAGCTTTTCTTCAAATGGATAGAATTCGTCTTGTTTCTCAATAATTGGTAGGATTTCATGACGCGGATGAGCAAAAAATATTTTGAAGAGGGTCTTCATATCTAAAAAATAGTTATTGGTGAAATCGTGCCCCTTTCGTGTGTATCAGGTTTCCAAACAAAACTACCCACCGTTTGATTCAAGCGCTTTAAAGAGAATTTCACCCAAAATATAAGATTTTTCGAGTATCATCATTTCATATAAAGCTGAAGCTTCATTGTACATTTTACCCTTCCTCATTCCGGCAAATCCCCTATCATTTATATCAAATAAATTATTAAAACAAGTTTTGAGTTGTTTTCCACGATGGTTATGCTAAAAATTATAAAATAATATACCAGCAATCTTACCACAGGTTCGTATGAAACAACACGACAAAATTTCAGCAAAATCTCGCCCCGATCCCATCTTGGTAATGGCACAAGCAGTTTAGCCAACAAAATCCAAATAGTTTCCCGACTTGATTTCCCATCAAGATTCAACATTTTGTAGAGTTTGTAAAAATTAATTCTATAAAATATGTCACTAAATGAAGGGTTTGTTGTTTCACCATACAGACGAGAACAACTTATTTCAAAAGTATCATGTTGAAAAGAAGGAAGACCTAAATTCGAGATTTTATAAAATATCTTAGGAGATTAAAAATAATAAAGCACCATTAATAAATCCTTGATTGACAAATATTATTAGAAATATTCTCAACAAAACATAGCAAGTTAAATTCATTTTCTAGCTTTTAATTTTTTGAATTTTTAAAGAATTTTTTTGCCTATTTATTTTGTTTATTTATGAAAGCGGAAAGAAATAAGATGCCAAAAATTGCCGGCAAAACTTCAAAAAGCCTTTGATAATTACGTTGGCAAGCGCAAACGATCAATGTAAAATGCACTTTAAAAGGACTAGAATGCACTTTAAAAGGACTTCTTGAGAGATAGACAAATAGGGAAAAGGGCATGTGATTGCATGTTGTTGATTTGTTTTTAAATAAAAGTGCAAAAAAAATTAAAAAATCCAAATTAAAAAATAACTACATATTATTGTATGTAAACTCATTGTAAATCAACTTCAAGTTAACCGATAATCACAAAAGAAAAGTAGTAATTCTAGACATGGGTGATGTATGGCTGGAAAGCTGGAGGAACCTCATAATAATACTAGGTCTTATTGATGTTAATTATAATTATTATTTTACTTTTTTCAGATTCAAAGCCAGGATGATCCCACATTGTTGAAAAATTAAAAAAACCGGAAACTCAATATAACCGGAAACTCAATATATCCGGAAACTCAATATAACCGGAAACTCAATATAACCGGAAATACAATAAACCGGAAGCACGATAAAACCGCAAACTCAATATAACCGGAATGAACCGCAAACAATGAACCGTAAACTCAATATAACCGGAAAAACAATATAACTGGAAATAATAAACCGGAAACTCGTATAACCGGAAAAAATTAAACCGGAAACACAATAAACTGGAAACTCGATATAACCGGAAACAAATAAACCGCAAACTAGATATAACCTGAAACTTGATATAACCGGAAACACAATAAACCAGAAACTCTATATAACTGGAAATAAATACACCGGAAATACAATAAGCCGGAAACTCGAAAAACTTAAAAAATCTTTTTTCTAGTTTCCGGTTTCCTCGAGTTTCCAGTCTTGACTTGTTTCCGGTTTTATCTATTTCCGGCCTTATTGCGTTTCCGGTCTTCTCTCTAAAGCAGACACATCATATGAATTTTATCGCGCGGACAATAGATTTAATTTACACAGGAAATAGATTCAATTTAGACAGGAAATTTTAATTAATCAATGTTTAATTTCAATTTCATATAGTCAATAATTTTTAAATTATTAAAAGGGCATATTAGTCATTTATTAATTTAAAATTTATTAAAATATGGAGTCTATTTAAATTTATTTCCCTAGGAAATTTAAATTCCTAGACATTTAGAGTGAGAAAAGTTATTATTACGGTAGTAATAACATTGATAACCGGCAAAACTTATCGCCGACAAAACATAGTAAACCGACAAACCTTATTGCTCAACCTAATTATTAAAAATATGTGTTCCTGTTTTTTCTATGCTGTTTAAACTTGCTATGTATAATCGAGAAATCCCTTAGCAAATTTTTACAGTATTATTTAATATCTAATTAAAGCATAATACTTTGATATTCATAATTAAACTTTTTCCTAAATTAATTGTTTCAGAAAATGAGATTCCTAGGCGGGAATTCTACAATCTTTATTCTTTTTTACCCGATCATCATTTTAAGTTTTGAAATCACAGGTGATCAAATTAAGCCTGTGCATGGTTTGAAACCATTAAACCTTCAACCTAAAACTTTAATGGAGCAACCACATCTAAATTTAACTTTTCCGGAAGATTTACCAGATCAAAAATATTTGGACCCTGTTAAAGGTAAATAATAGATTAAATTTTAAATAATTTGAAATTTTCGATATTAATAATTTTTAAATTAAAATTAATTTTTAATTTTAATATATACAAAAAAATTTTTTAATTTGTACATTTTATTATAGAAAAAATAACTCAAAAATCACCAAAAAAGAATTACAGCTCAACAAATAATATATCCAAATCTCAACAAACAGACGGATTGGGTGATATACATTTGCAGAGGATTAATACTTCATTTAAAGGCTCTGATGAAGAATTGCCGTCATTACGGGCTAAGATTAAATCTGTAAAAGATAAAAGCGGTTATTCATCTAGAGATCAGCATAGACAAGTGTAATGATCCTTTAATATTTTTATTTAACAAAATTTTATTATAATATAGGTTCCCAAAATCTGACATTTTTGAAGCATCACAAACAACTGCAAAACATAAACCAATAAAACATATCAAAAGCAATTTAACAAAGCAAACATCGTGTCCGGAGTCTCTTTTGACAAAAAATGGGTATCTTGTTAGAAATTTTTATTATGATATTATTACTAAGTGAAAATTAAGGTATCACCCGAAATTTGTTTTTTTGCCAAAAAGTCCAACCCCACCCGACCAGACAATCCCTAACCCAATGGCTCGTTGGCTACACTAATACCTAATACTGTACTTATCCACCATTATTATGAAATAATGCAAAAGAATACCAGATTCCACCATTTAAAATGTTAAAAAATTTAGCTAATCTAAATTTCTAGGGATCAAACAGAATCACATTCTAATTATGACAAATTATATCACACTACGGATGATATATTTTTACATGGATTGAAACCAGTACGTACAAAACAAGGAGGGAATTATGAAAATGAATCGCTCTTTGATGGTTCCGAACGTACCTCTATTATAGAGTTAAAAAGGAGATTAAAAAATTCAAAACGGAATGTAATAGATTCAAAACACATGATAACCCGACGAGATAAAATGAGTCATGAATACGACAGACTTGGATCAAATGTTAGCAAAAAATCTTCGACCTCTTCAAGGTGGATATGTCTAAAATTTAAATATTTTTTGATATGTTTGACAATAATATTTATTATCGAGCTTTTAAAATTTAAATTAGGCGATATTCAAAAGTTGAATCTTCATTTAAAAGATAAGATCACAATAAATATAAAGCCGATAAATTATCGCTATTAAAATACAATAATAAACTGATAAAAAATTGCAGATCTCCTGTAATCTCTTCACAACATCTGAATGAAACTCATTTGGATTTGACTCAACAATTTTCAAAAAATGAGGAAAATCTGAATGAAACTCATTTGGATTTGACTCAACAATATTCAAAAAACGATGAAAATATAACAAACGGAGAATTTGCATTAATAGAATTTAAATCTGAAATCACAAAGAAACATAGTAGATTTGTAAAGGTGGCGTTAAAAGAAATGATCGGAAAAGGCGGAGTTGCTGAGGTAAATGAGAGATTTACTGATAAATTTTTTCGAAGTCTAATACACAAATATATTTTACAGGTTTATAAAGGACTTTGTTGTGATAATCGCAATGAAATTGAAGTTGCTGTTAAATTAGTTGGATACAATACAATTAATACTGGAACGAGTAAGGGTCCAGAAACTTTGGAAGACTTACTTTATGATCCGAAAAATGAGATGAGAGTATTCAAAGCATTTCATGATAAATATCATGGATATTCAGAAGAAAGTGGTATTATTGAAATGATTGATGGGTAAATATTTTTCATGTTTAGATAGGATATATAAAATTTTTGCTAATTTACGCGATTTTTCATATTGATACAAGACCCAGAAGATTTTTTTAATATCCATGCAATTATATTCATGAGGGTATTTGTTAGTGTTTCGCCGTAAGTTCCGGTTTCCAGCCAAATTTTCAGTTACAGTTCCGGTTCCGGCCAAATTTGCGGTTCTGGCGAAACACTAGTATATAGTCTTAAGGGTATACGTTCATTTTACTGTATGTCATTTTTGAAGATAGGTACATATATTCATTGAACTATAATATTGCTTTCTAGGGATTTTATTAGGGTATATTCAAAATCTAAATTTTATTACTTTTTACAGCGGTGAAATTATAAATATCGAGTATTCTGAATATGAACAATCCAAGCATGATTTTAAATACGTTATTATAACCGAATTAGGAACAAAAAACTTTTTAAAATATATCGGAGATAAAATCTATGAGAAAAATGGACTTTCAGAATCGGAACTAATGGAGGAATTAGTGAAACCAGCAACAGTTCTTTTTCAAATGCATGCTGGTTATTTATTAGCATATGTTTATTTAAATATTTTAAATAATTTTTAGTTGCCATCCATATGGATTTTAAACCACAAAATATTGTATTCAATTCTAAAAACAAGCTAAAAGCTATAGACCTTGGAGGAAGTCTTTTATTTGCTGATATTGAAATCGAAAATGAAGTTCCTGCAATTCTTGTCGGAAGAAGAACAACCTCACTATATTTTTTGCCACCCGAGCTACATTCATTATTGAAATCTGAGCTTGACAAACATTACAATGCAAAAGTATTATTATCTATTTTAATGAATTGTAAAAAGCAATTGAATCTTTACCTAATCATTCATTCAAAACCTTAACCTATTCAGTTTGTCCATAACTTAGCTTACTCATTTTTAGGATTATGCTTCAACAAAAACTGACACATGGGAATTTGGAATTCTTATTTTTCAAATGATTTTGTTGAATGATAACCGATATTCGACTATAGATCTTGACAAATGGCTTAATGACGTAAAAACTTATTAAAACATGAATTTAAATACGGTATTACATACTGTCTCCCTTGAATAATTGCTCTCCTCGAGTAATACCTGTTCAATAAGGTTGTCGGATCCGGATACGAAATGTGGTGGAATATCCGGAAATTTTCGGTTAGGAGATCTGATTCTGATATACGAAGATTTCCAACTATCCGACAACCTTACTTTTCAAGCTCGTTTAAAAAATTATTAACAAATTTATAGAAAAATTATTAACAAATAACAAATTTTTTTTACAAAATTTAATAATTTATTAAAATGCTTATTAATTTTTCATACATTAGGTTTCTAATCTTGCGGAAATCAACAAGTTTTTTACTTATTTATCGAAAGCAAAAGATTGGATTATTATGGATGTAAATAAATTTAGAAAAATTATAACATTGCTTCTAAAAATTATGAATAATTATCCATCATTGTTTTTACTTGCTACGGTATTCTTATATTCTAATTACTATCATACTTAATTTTTTAGCATTTGTTGGATGGCGAAGAAGCTAACCGATTGTCTGCTCAAGGAATTCTAGATTTTCTAACTTCAAAATGTCGTATTATAAACAAAAATAGAACATTTGAAAATTTTTTGGAATTTGGATTTAAGACAAAAAGTGGGATTTTGCTTATATTTTTTAGAATATGAAAACCTGCTACATAGACTAGCCCGAGAAGCGGGCTAGTAAAGCAGACTAGTCAAGCAGTTCAACACGAAATTCCTGACTTTGGTGGTGTTAGAACCTAAGTGTTACCGTTAGGACCTCTAGCCCAAACTCGTCCGCTCTGCAACCGAATGGCCATAGAGCTTGCACCTTAACAGTTAGTCGCTTGTTACTTAGTCGCTTGCCAGCTAAAGGATTAAGAGATTTTTAACCTCAAATTTTCTTATTATAAACAAGAATAAAAATTTAAAAAAATTTTAGAGGTTGAACCTATGACAGAAGAACCTGAGATAAAGCTTAAGAGTTTATTAGAATATGAAGGTATGACTGAAAAATATAAGAGTTTGCTTAGAGAAGGTCAACAAAAATTATTAAATCTTGAAGTGGATCAAAATGAAAATCTGGAAGACTGTGATCGACATTTCTAATTGTTTTGAAATACAAAATTTTGTTTTGTTATGTACATATTTTACCTTATGTATTTTTAACATGGTTACCATAAAAAACGGTATTCTTGTCTTAAGACAGAATACGGAAGCTTTTAAAAAACATAAATCCTGGGACCCGGTTTCAGCTAAATTTGATCATCAGTTATTCAATTCACGTTTTCCTTGTCACCCTTTTGATTTAATGTTTGTATTGTATATTTTTATGAAATTTTTTAATTTTAAAATTTTGCCGTTCATTTTATAAATTCTGTATAAAGTTATTTTGCCGTTTTTTAGTAAATTTTAATTTTAACTATTATCATTAAACTACTAATAATTAACCTAAAACAGTTGTCCAATTTAACAATATCCGTTTGAACATTATCATCAACATCCCATTCATCTCTTACGGAATTAATTTATAAAGTTCTCATTTGAATTTGAATATATTGTCACATGCTTGCACTTTTAACTTTTATCAATTGTTGAATGCGATGTCGAGGAATTACACGTTTGTAAATTGATTTATTGACAGATTTCCTTAATAATATTTCACGTGAAAAGAATTCACGTGAATAGAAAAAGGTTGTTAATGTTTAAAGCATGTGGAATTCATAGTGATGCCTTAATAAGGAATTAAATTTCCTTTGCCCAATGTCGAATATTATTCATTAACCTGCTTTAATTATGTTATTTTTTAATTAAAAATTATTATTTCAGATGTTAAAATGCTTTACTATTATTATGTTTACATCTGTTTTATTATTTCTTTTAACTTATCTTCCAACAGATGTGGAAACAATGAAAAATAATAGCGCAAGTGGTGAAAAGAATCAGGATAAAGTGGATAGTAAAAAAGAGGATCGCGCTTCGAAAAGAAGACCGCTCGGGCTTTCTTTACCAAATAGTATTAGGTGTTTACTTAAATTTTATTTTACCGATTTTTTAAAAACCGATTTTTTTTGATTATTACTTTGATTTATTCTGCTGATACATTAGTATCAAATTATTATAGTATACTTAAAAGCAGAGCTGTTTCGAAACAGAAAAATCGAACAAAATTAAAAAATTGGAGAAGAATTTGCATGTAGTCGTTGTTGACATTATTACTATTTGTGCTGTATAGGTGCTTAGTAGTAGACTATGAAATCCCCGGATATATCCTGATCCGTACCTAGATCCAACCCAAGTAGCGAGTATTAAAGATTGTCCGTGCTTAAATAACAATAAAAGTGGAGGATTTTGAGGGATAAAAAGGATATATATGGAGAATTCTGGTGAATTAGGGGATTTTGAGATTTCTCGGCCCCAAATCCTTCGACACCTCCTCAGAATTCTTTTTAGCAAGTTCAAAATTTTCCTCAATGATTACATTGGCAACCCCAACTGAAAATACAAGGAACGATTCTTCTTTTTTAGCGCCGCTGCTTAAAATTTAAAAGTATCTAATTTTAAAACTTAATTACAGTCGCCTAATTACCCTTGGACGTTCATCAACCTTTGGACGTACATCAACCACTCCATCACCGTCATCTTCATCTCCTTCATTGCTTAAAAGTTTATGTAAGTTTGAGGATATACTACCATTTTCTCCTAAAAGTACGAAATGCAGCTGTAAAAAGTATAATATGAGGGGAATGACCAAAATCAGTTTTTATTCTGCCTTAGGAAATAGAATAAGAAAAGTAAAAGTATCGCTTCAAGAGCTTATTAGTGAAGGCGTACAAGCTCAGGTAATTTTTTCAATTAGGTAATTACAAAGATAATTAATATTCAGGTTTATCACGGCTGCTATTATGACACTAAATCTAAGAATGAAAAATGTGTAGCGGTTAAGTTGATTGGTACTGGAACACAACAAACTCAGAACAACGCATTACTGAGTGGATACGAGAAAAAGCTTAGAGAGTTAGTCTACTTTATTCTAACTTTTATAATTTATAATTATGAACTCTTAGAACAACGCATTAGACTCTTAGGAGTTGAAGACTCTTAGGAGTTGTACTATAAATTAAATTCAGATTGAACAACAAAGATAAGAATGAGTTAACGAAATTGGATGAAAAACGCAAAGAAATGCTTGAAGAAAATATCAGGGTAGCAAAAGAGAATAAATCAAAATCGCTAAAGACAATTGTTGAAGACTCGATGAATGAAATTAAAGTGCTTAAATTGTTTCAAGAAAGGTTTTCGAACGAAAATAAACCGCTTGATCATATCATCAATATGTATGATGGGTATGATAATTGAATATATTACATAGATTAATTTTTAATTTTAGAGGGTCGATTATAAAAATACATGGTGATAAAGATAAAGAACAAATGTTTGATTATATCATTATCCTGGAACTAGGAAATGAAACATTTCTGGAAAAAATATTATCAACAGCAGAAAATCATGTCGAGAAAGATGAATCAATGCTTATGAATGTTTTGAGTGAGCCAGCAAAAGTTTTAATTCAAATCCATGAAGGTTGTTACATCTTATGTGGGTCTATGATAGAGAAACACATCACGTCGATTGGAGCGTGCTGGCAAGGGCCTTTCCATCTGTGATATTTAATAAGACTTAAGTCCGGGATACCTTTCTCTCTCTCTGAGGAAATATTACAACAGTGAAGAAATAAAATAAGTGTTAGGCTCTCTTTAATGGGAAGAATAGGAAAACTTCCTTTTTAGTTCCAGAGATGCTTTAATTATTGTTTGTAATTTCAGTTGCTATTCATATGGACTTCAAACCACAAAATTTGGTATATGTTTCTGTTGATACAAACAAAAATCAAAAAGAGCAACGTTTGAAGGCTGTTGATGTTTCTCGTGAAACTATCAATGTTCAAGAAGAAAAACATTTGAAAGCTATTGACTTTGGCGGGAGCATGTTTCTAAATCCAACAGTGTGGAACAATAAAAGTAGCACTAAATCAAACATAAGCAATTTAACAAAGTTCGCGCGCTCATTTTCTCTTCCTGCTAATTTTGATGGTAAAACTAATCTCGAAAAAAGTCAATCAAACAATAAAACGAATAATGTTGAAAAGATGATAGGTACTCGTCGATATTTGCCGCCGGAGCTTGATACAAACTTCCGGATTGAACAAGCCAAATTGCTGCCAAGTCAATCCAATTCAAAAACTCGAAACGTATTCTTAGAAATCATTTTTCCGATAATGTTTTTAATATCATGTAGGCATCAGCATCAACCAAATCTGACGTTTGGATGTTTGGCATAATATGCTATGAACTTTTGCTTTATATAAAATATTATCCATCACTAAATAAGGACAAAGAAAACTTTATAAAAACGGTTCATTTACTTAATATATTTTATCATAATTATAATTTTATTTAAGATAAATAATAAGCTGCTTAATATAAATACAATCTATAAATGGAAAAATATATTATTGGACAAAAATTATATTGCATCTACTAGGCAACAAGAAATTAATCCTGAACACCCAACTATTGAGGATATGAAAGGCGAGCTTATGGACATAATAGAGATAAAATCAGATTACCCGAAAATTTTTCAACTTGTTTCGGTTAGCAAAGTTTAATACACGTATTGTCGATTGTAAATTTTTCAGAATTTATTGCAACTCGAACCAAAGCATCGACTTTCTGCAACTGGGATTTCAGACTTTTTAACCAACAAATGCCGAATAGAGTCAAAGAATTATACTCAATTTTCTACTGATCAGTTTATAAGGGAAGATACTAATGAAAATACA